ACATTATTGTTCCATCCCTCACTGGTTGCGCCTGGCAGGAGGCTTTCCCGGGCTGGGCCTCAGCAATGGTGTGGGGCCTTGTGTTTCACTCCGCGCAGAGGGAGGTTCGGGAGCGGCAGCATTATTCGGTCGACGTGGTTATTGCGCTGTATCTCGCGCCTCTGCTGTGGCGTACCACCAAGTTTCTCTGGTCCCACCCTCCGCCTCCGCCCACGAGGAGGGAGGCGCTAAGTGCGGCGCTTAGCGAGCGGGAAGCGGCGCTTATGAAAGCGCTGAAGGATGGGGATTTGAGTGCGGTGAGGGAGGTTGTGGGAGATGCTGTGGAGGAAGCGGAACCAGATGCTTCTGGCAGTGTCAAGGGGAAGAATTTTGGTGATAAATCTGGGAGGGATGCGCGGACCAACAAATTGTTGTTGCCGTTTGGTATTGGGATGATCTTGTTGTTGTTCGTGGTGGTTTTGACAGCCTTCAATATGGCAGACGAAGGCGGAGGCTTCTTGAAGTGGCGAAAATAAGGGATGTTGTTGCACATTTGTTTAGTTTATTTGCGCGTTGGTAATTGATCGCTTCATTTTTGTAATGGCTTATACATATGTGCTAGAATAATGTGTAGGGGAGAAGTGGTAATGTAAGGGCATGTATGCTGCAGTATCCATTATTGCAAGATGCATTTGTGATGTTACTAGTATGGTCGTGCACTTCACCTCACACCCAAACGTCAAACCCCATGTACACAGTCGTTTTATGATATCACAGTCTGTGTTTAGCGAGGACAGTTTCCATTGGCCAGAGGAACACTCTTTGCAGGATCACCTCCTTTCATATCCGCCACACACCCAGAATGCTTTTTGAGGTTCTGACAGCAGCCCATTCGGGTTTTACCTACCGCATGCAGATCTTGCTAGTGCAGCTTTGCAAACGCATGCAATAGACGGTTCAGGGGAAAATGGTCGGCTTGCCGGCAAAAACATGCGGTTACCCGTGTTTAGGGTTGAGGCTCCCTCAATCGCATGCCATCCAGATGGGGTTTATTTTTTTCTGACCGCGGGCAGATAACAGTCCGTCAGCCTCTTTCCCCTGCGGCCGTCTATTGTATGCGTCTGCATAATTGCGCTGGCATAAGTTGAATGCCGTTAAAAATGGCCCCAGCCCATTCCACCGCAGGAAAAACGCGGCAAATCACTCGTTTCCCAGCCACAAACGCAACCAACCAGGCAAGAGGAAGAAGATAGCAGGCGATGCCCGTGTGGGCTCAGCGGTAATTTTCTGTTGATTTGTTCCCCCAAGCAATAAATTTGAGAGGAATACATTGCTGCGCCCATAAAATAAACTTTATATACTGACATTTCTTTCCACTTATTTTCTCACCTCCTCCGAGCGGAGACCTCCGCTGCTCCGATCTCCCCGCCGCTCGATGGACGGGATACAGACGGGGGGCACCAAGTAACTACGGTACAGAAGGTGGGGTTCCCCAAGGAGCACCCAGATCAGCTTCGATAGGCTAGCCGAGGTATCACGCGTCTTAGTAAGATGCAAAAACATTTTGCGTGGGTCAATTGCGGTGACATCTCGAGTCTGTTTCATCCAGCCTCGAGATTGGCATTGGCAACTCAAGGCCTCCTGTCCTGAGAGTCCCACTCGCTCACAGGCCATCCATACCTCGTGTTTCAGTACGCTAGACTGGGTGAGGCGAAGCGAGGCGGCAGCACCAGCATTTGACGGATTATTAGGTTGTCGCTCCTTAGCTCCTACACATTCAATAGCTTATGCTGCCTCCGCTGCTCGCTCGAAGCTTCGCCTCCCTTAAACATTACGGCACGGTCGCGTGTGGATTGTCAGGGCTACGCTTCGTGGTCTGCTAGATCCGCACTTGGCTACGTAGCATTTTCGATAGTTACAGCCGCTGGTTGAAATGATCCTGAGGGGTTGTAAGGGTCGGAGGCGTCTTTCGTGATTGCGACGCTGCGTGGGTAGCACGTACGCGAATCGATATTTGAAAAACCTCAAGGAACAGGACGTCTGTCTATCGACCTAACTGGCAGTTAACTCCTCTTGCTGCTTAAACGGTCTTCTTCGGCTTATTTACGTCGACATTATTCGAACTTAACCGATCTCTCCAATCTGGCTTCTTCGCTGCCTGTCACCTCGAGGCTCCCCGCGTCTGCTCCTTCCTCGAGGCTCCCCGCTTCTGCCTATACCACGATGACCGCTTCTTCCGCTACCCAAGGCTCTCCGCTGCTGCGCGTCGCGCGGAAGTTCCTAAACCTAGGAACCGTCGGTCTAGCCTACGTTCTGATAGAGTTCGTCTGCACGCGAACGGACTGGCTCCCCCCGCGCATCGCGGCGAAGTTCCCGTTGGCTCTATGGGCGCTCGTCGGGATTCTTGGCGTCGTGCAGAGCCAGCGTTACCGGCATTTCGCGGACGAGTTTCGCAACGTGCCCAAGTTCCTGGCGTGCGTTGCGTTCATGCTGCTTGCGTTCGTCGTGGAGGTGATTGCGGTGCAATTTGTCACCGTCGTGCTCGGCCTCGACTGGCACAAGTGAGTTTGGTTTGGCACGAAGTAGATTCTTCATAAGCCACCTCGGAGGTAAATGCGGTGCAGTTCGTTACCGTCGTTCTCGGCCTCGACTTGCACAAGCGAGTTTTGATTTTTGTGTGTAAAATCGGCATTGAGGTGACATTGAGTTGTTTCAGAAGTCATCGCGGAAGTGATTGCGGTGCCCCCTCCCCTCTCCATCCCCATCCCCCTCCCCGTCCTCCCCTTCCCGCCCAGAACCGTCACCCCTCTCCCTGACACGGGCCAGTGGATCCTACTCGGCCTCAACGACCGCCTCCCCGCGCCCATCACGGCGCTCCTCCGCGCGCCCATCGTGGAAATGCACGATTTCATCATGCTCTTCATGCTCCTCGCCTTCTCCGTTCTCGTCGGCGCGATTGCCCCCCCGGGCATGGCGCTGGGTTCACGCTACGTTTTCACCATCGGGCTAAGCAGAATCCTGCGCGTTGCCACTTTTGTGTCTACGATTCTGCCCGCGCCGCGGCCGTGGTGCGCGGAGTCGCGGTTTGGTGACACGTGTCCTCGGCACCCGCACCCCTGGGCGGCGAAATATCTGACGCCGTATAACGACAATCCAGACCTGCTGCACCAGCTGATTTCCACGGACACTGCTTTTGGTGAGTCCCGATCCCTCCCCCCCCCCCCCAACACACACACATTCACACAGACCCACAGACACACACATGCACGCACTCACGCCCCCCCCCCCCCCCCCACCCCCCCCCACCCCCACACACACGCATGCGTTGGCCTCCCTTCCCGCCAAGAACTCAGCTATCTCGGTTGTGCCCCTTTCCCCTTCTTATTCCCCAGCTTCCCAGGCGAGCTATCCCCTCCATTCTTCCCCAGCCCCTTAGATGAGCTATTTCCCCGAGTGCCCCTCTAACTGAGGAGCGCTGCAGTTCCTGGTGGTGTCCCATGAAATGAACTCACTTTTGCGCCCTTTTCCCCTAGTTTCCCCCTCTGTTTCTTTCCCCAGTGGCCCCCATGCCCTCTCCCTTCGGGTTTTGCCCCGACTGGGTCGTGCTGCAGGTTCTGGTGGCCTTGCTGCATCCCACGGACTCAGTTCTCCCGTTTCTCCTTCTACCTTACTTTCCCCAGCCGCCCCCCAGTCCTTCCCTGCAGAGTTCCGCCCTGACTGGGGCTCGCTGCAATTCCTGGTCGATTTCCTTCGTCCAATGGACGCCCGCGTTCACGATGGCGCTGCCGCCTCCTCTGGAGCTTTCAGCAGCTTTGTCGTCCGCCCCTACGGTGGCTGCAACGATCTCGCCTTCAGCGGGCATATCGTTGTTGCTGCGCTCACAGCTTGCGCCTGGCAGGTGGGTAAAAGAAACGGGAAGAAGGTCTAGGGTTAGGAAAAAAGAACATGTTTAAGGTGCAAATGCGTTTATTCTCACTGATTCTTTAATCTGCCCTTTCTTCCTCAAACTATGCTCATTTCACCTAAGCCCTATCCCCTCTTCTCAATATGTGATGATGTCAAATGCAGAAGGCGTATCCATGGTGGGGATCTGCCAGGTGATGCATGCCGCCCAGTGATACATCTGGTCTGGCATACTGCCTCTCTCTCACTCAATGCCCTTTTCACCCCATGCCCGATTCCCCTCTTCCGAATGCGTGGGAATGGATTGTGGACCACAGGAGGCGTATCCAGGGTGGGGATCTGTCATGATGTGGGTGCTGGTGATGCACGCCGCTCAAAGGGACATCCGAGAGAGATCGCACTACTCAGTTGATGTCATTATCGCTCTCTACCTCGCACCACTCCTCTGGCAAACCACCCGGTTCCTCTGGTCCCGGCCTGCTCCCCCTCCGTCCCGAAAGAAGCTTATGGGATCGGCTCTTGCTGATAGAGAGGCTGAGCTGGTTAAGGCTGTTAAGGAAGGGGATCTTGACAGGGTGAAATGGACGGTTGAGATGGCACGGCGTGAGGCGGATGCGAAGGAAAAGGGGGGAGAGGTGGAGGGGGGTGTGGAAGCGGGGAACACAGAGAGGGCTACCGTTATGCAGCGGTATTTGGCTCACCTTGGAACTGTGCTGATTTTGACCATGTTGGGGGTGGTGCTGGTGGCGATTGTGGTGTCGGATGAAGGGCATAAGGCTGTTCTTGAAAAGAAGTAGGTGCTGGACAATCCAGTACATGTGCTGGTTTTGTTAAAGTAGGCTAATTCTGGAGAACGTTTGCACTGCATCTCTTTTGCTGCCTGATGTAGACATGTATCCTAATCCATCCAATCCAATACCGTTTGAAAACGATAATAAGTGTTAGGCGGTGTTTTGATATTCAGCACATGTAGTATCTATCAAACATTGTCATTGGCTTGGACACTATCCCATACCCTAGCTGTGAGCACTAAACTGTATTGGTCTGAAATGTATGACAAACCGCACTGCTCTTCCTATGGATGGGTCTCAACACTATTCCTCTCCAAGTCCAGATTTCTAGATACCCTGCAACTCGATCCCTTCAACCAATCTCTTCAGCTCGTCAAGGTCCACAAGCGGGACCATGGTTGGCCTCCCATGTGCACACTGCATCACACATGGCAAGGCACCCATACCATACATCAGCACATCATCTTCAGCACCCAAACATACGTACATCATCTTCAGCACCCAAAAACAGCAGCATCTAGCAATGTACGTGTTCACCTGGAAGGGCAGCTGTGTGTGCTTCAAACACTCAATGAGCTGGGAACTCTCAGATGGCTTCAGCATGTCTCCAAACATGATGGCACCTGCACAACAAAGCAAACATGTGTGAAACCGCCATAACAACAACGTGCGCAGGAAGCACTCACAAAAGAAGCTCACCTCTACAAGCTTTTGATGCCAGCAATTGCACAACTGCCCGTGGTGGTGTAGATGCAAGGCCACCAGTTTGTTGAAGCTGCAAAGTCACATACGAAATGGATAAACCATGGGCTTTTAGATGTGGATAAAGGCCTAAAGAACTAGAGAAAAGCTGGAGTCCACATGAGCTGTGAGTACGTCCAGGACCTGCAGCAAGTAGTCGAGAAGGTCTTCTGCACGTAGAGAGGTGCCCAGCAAGTGCGGAACCTGCAATTTTAAGAAAGAGAGTGAATTTTTGGAACGAAACGAGGAATCTCAAAAGGAAATGGACAAACAGGGATACGTTTGCACACTACATCCATACCGCGAGTACAAGAAGTCGAGTTGGAGTGCACTGAGATTTTCCTGGACGTCTGGGAGGGGCATATGGGGCCATAAGGAGTGGTTGCAGGGCCGAACGCACTGGCTATCTTGCTACAAGAATAGTGAGAAGCAATATGTTCAGGAACCTGGGACTCACCTTGATTGGCTAAGCATAGCCATAGCATCAGCTCCCAAATGAGTTGAACGATGTGTGCTGCTGAAAGCATTTTCTGTGTCGCCAGTTGTAGAGAGCTTAAAACGCCATCCCCATCGTTCTAGTTGCCTTTGATATGACCTCAAGCACCCATCTTGCCCTGCTGTGATTGGCTGGAAAATGAAAACACAAGAGATCAATTTGATGAATGGCAGGTTGGGACGTTCAAGGTCTCCCTTGCTGAGTGTCTCACCAAGTCAGAGGGTGTATCAAGGAGTAGTGGCACCACGGCTGACTGATTCTCCAGAACCTGCAACACCATCAAAGAGACTCAGAATTTGCACAAAATGAAGCCTCACTGATGCTACCAGAAAAGCAACCTCACTCACCTCCTTGCGAAGCTCCTCAAGACAAACCCTTTCATCTGCCGCATGCTGCAGACATATATGTAGGTGGTCAGAAGAACGACATCGCTGACAGACCACACTCATCAGAATCTTTTGACTGCTTACCTGATCAATGGCGACCACGGTTGAGCCAGAAGTGGCGATCAGGAACTTCCCATCTACCTGCTTCAGGCACTTTGCTTGAAGCAGGGTCTCTTTGGAAACAGAGGTTGGAATTAGGGGGCGACGCTGCCTTCTGTGACTATCAAACTGCATGGACCTGGAAGCCAAAGTCTGTAAGTCAAGAATTTCTGGCTCCACTTCTTCCTTCTCGGCAAGGCTGGTCTTGCACCAATGCTGCATAAAATAAAAAGAAATGATTGAAAGCAAGCAATGGCTTAGGATGGCAAAGTGAATGATTGATGTCTTCATACAAGCTTTGAGGTGCTTACCTGGTACATTTCCTTCACAGACTTTGTCGAGCCCGGATCGTTCTTATCAGTGCATGTAGGCGCATGACCATCTCTCCACTTGGATGAGCAACAACAGCCTGCTACTTCATCAGCGTGATAAGTTTCTACAGTAGCCAGATGCGCTGGTGGTGGATCGGATTCTTCTCTGCATTCGACTGGTCCAGCAGTCTTTTCAGCCATAGGCAGTACACATGCATGCTTTTGCTTGTTGCCTGTTTCCTCTGCAATCACCAAAGGCGAAGAAGCCAGAGCTCCAGGGGTCAAGCCATGCTCCTGAGAACTTTCCTTTGCTGAATTTGCTGCCTCAGATGCGCCTGCAAATTTGCCACCAACATAGCTGTGTTCAGCCAAAATTGTATTTCCAGACCCGGAAAACTAAGAATATATTCAATGTGCTTACCTCCACAGGCAACCAGACCCCATGTCTTATGCTTGCTACATTGCTTCAGATTGCTTGATGGGTCCATATGGGTTTCAATAAGCGGGTTAATGAACTCGACTGCTTGCTGAAACTCAAGCGAGCCAACAGCAGGAAAATCAGGCGCAATCTTCGAGGAGGCTGATTTGCTGGTCCTGTACTCATTCATCGGTCCTTGCAGCTGAATGTCCTGGAGGTGCTGCATGCCAGCCAGCACCGATTCATTTAAGACCATTTCAGGATCAATCATGGACGACCAATGTGAAGGTCCATCGCCTTCAGTATGGAGTTTCTCTTCCAGTAATGCCTTTTTTCTTCGTTTAGACACGGGCTCAAGTAATTGCTGATCATCAAAGAGACATCGTGAGGTCTCTAGGTCCATCCCATCCGGCTGCAGCTGCAGAAAAATCCGTTAGATACCAAACAGTGCACAACATAAACTCCAACAGTACGTATCTACCTACCTGTAGATCCAGCGTCCAGTCGAGGTGATTGGATGCAGGCAACTCCGTGGCAAAATCTTCTGTGGGCCTACTCTCTTTCGTTACTGTAGGCGGAAGGCACGAGTCTCTTGCTGATGCAAATGGGGAGAGTTCTGGATAAGAATCGTGCCAAGAGAAGGGCCGAAGAGTGCACTCGCTTGAGTTGTTGAGTTCCACATCCAAAGCGGATGCCCTAGCTTGGTCAGTATTCTCTTCACGTCTGCTCTCTTTCTTTGTGCTTTTGGCTTGAAAGCCCCTGGAACGCAGATTCATGGGGGAATCCAACCGATCAACTTTGTATGCTGAGCCGGGATAATCTTCGGGTGAGGTTTCGCCTGATTCTTCAAGCAGAAGCAGGTGGCTGGTAGGATGTGTGTGCTTGCTTAATTTGCTGGATGATGTAATAGGATGGCTTGGCTGGTAACTGGGATCGGTTTTCTGCCATGACTTCTGACTTTTCTTCTTCCTGGGTTGCATCATCAGTCCTGGAAAAATGAGGGCCACAATAACAAAAGAATGTCAGCCGGACGGCCAGTGTGATCATCTGTAACAAGGCTTCTCGCCACCAACCTGATTCATGCAAAAGTGATTTGCTGGAAGGCCACACGACACGCAAGACTTCTTGGAGAAACTCCAAAACAGACTTCCAGTTCTGCAATCCAGGAAACCAATCAATAAAACGTGATCCGGCAAAGCTAACGGAATTCTATGAAGGAGCAACATAGTGTACCTTAAACTCCACATAAGTCTTTGTAGGCTCAAACGTAATGTCATAAGAGGACCGTGGGCATGACAGGTTAACAACAAACATCAAGTCTTGAAAAGCAGTTAATTCCGCACCCCCTTCTGAATGCAAGCTGAGCGATGTGGCGAAGCTGGAGTTCATCAATTTGTGGAATCGAGTGTGCTTCACCAGCCGCTTGTTGATGTCTGCCAAAATCAACCACCATACGTTAACAATCACAGCGAGACAAGAACATTTGGGATTAAGAGAGGGAGGACAATTACATAAGTACTGTATATCTCTTGAGGACTCATGTTGCACAAGCCGTGAGATGAAGCCAGACAGTCTCAAGTCACCCTTCTGATAGTCAATCTCTTTCATTGACTCAAAAATGGCAGCTCCAAACACATCTTTTATGCTGGAACCCACCGACCTTCCACCAGACAAGGATAGCAGAGTCTTGCTCCTGTGCACGTGCAATGTAAGGTTGTCAGTTTCTGTTAGCTATCCACCTACACAGAAAACGTTCACATTTCGGCTCTCACCTAGCAACATCCGACACAGTGAATGAAACTTGTGGATACATGAACGCCAAATGACCAACTCTGTCCCTGATGCTCTGAATCTCCTTTGATAAGCTAGACACAAGACAAATCGAACATGGGGTTGTAAACAACAAACATGAGACATGTGCATAACAGGGAAGCGTCCTGTTTTTGTAAGCAAACAGCGAAGGTGATGGACGAATGAAACACAGTCGGCGGAGCAGACTAACTTCTTCTCCACCAGCTGTCGCCTGACTGGTTGGTTGAAAAATATGTCTTGAACAATAACTGCAACCAGTAAAACATTGGAAGCAGACTCAATCCACTGTGATGTGACGACATTCACAGCCGCTGAAATCAGAGAGTGAACGCACCTGTTGTGCCAATTGATCTCAACTTCTTCGTCATTCCAACTGAGAGCGTTCTTCCACCCTGTATCATGCGGCCGTAAGCGCAGACTCTGTTCCATACGATTACAATTTAGAAAACAATGACTCACCTTACAAATCTTGCAGTATGTGCTAGCAGACCCCCTCGGACGAGTCACAATCTCGACCAGGGAGAGGCCCATGATTGAAAAAAGTGCCTCTCCTCGAAATCCCAGTGTTGTAGGACCAGCTTCAAGCTCCGTGATCGATTGGAGCTTCGATGTCGCTGTTCGTAGAAAGCTCAGGTTAGGAGGTGGTCCTTGGAAGAGACATGAACGACAATACCCGGGTTATGATTCCAGGCTTCTCTGACGCACCTTGACGCACACCGAGAAGCACCAGGTCATCACGCGAGATACCACAGCCTGTAAACAGAGGATAGCGGTGATGTAAGTTCGAGCGTACACACCTAGTCGGTCAACGGAAAGCACACTCATTACCATCGTCATCCACTCTAATCGTCGCCGCTGATGAGTCGACCGTCACAGAAACCTGAATACATGCCGTAACGTGAATTATCATTCTTGCGATAATTATGCTTGAAAAAGTTCCGCAGTTACTATGAGCCTACGACGCGTTTCACCTCTCTAGCTCCTGCATCGAGGCTGTTGCAAACTAGCTCTTCCGTAAGCTGCGATAGTGAAGGAACGACAACCGAAGACCTAACCTTCCTCGACACATGCTCTGGAAGCTCGCGGATGAATGGCAAAGCCATGGCTCCTGCGAGAATGCCAAGCCGAAGCGGCAACCTTGAAGTCATCTAAGAACAAGAACTCAAAATTTCCGTTAGCATCCGATCCGTTCCAAACTACAAATTTGGAGCCTTTGGATTTCCTAGAAGCCACAGGGTCTCAAATTTGGACAAACCATGGTCCCAAATTCGTCTTTGTCAAATTGACAAGCATTTGTACCCCTTGAAGCTATTGAACGAGTGGGTATGGTACGGTACTTCAGTTTTTTTTTTTTAACACGTGAATTTTGGACTTTAGTATCATATTTATTGACATGCAACACATCGAACATCCTCGAACGTACAACCAATATCGCGTATGGATAGAAAGAGGAAAAGGGAAAGAGGGAGAAGGAAAAGGGAAAGAAAGACACCAGAAACAACTCAAACGCAACACCCATAAAAAGCCCCATAAAAATACTCCATAAAGAAAAAAACCAAACCAGGATCCCCTACCCATACTCAGTTTGCTGGGTGCTGTTACAAAAATTTACAACTCCAACAGGGACAGCATGGACAGACCTCGGTGCTAAGATCTACATGCAACGATTACGTATGCAATGAGCCATATGCCAAGGGACGAGGAGGTCAGGCGGAGACAAGCTGTGTCATGGAACCAGGGCCTCAGATTCGTTTGGGGGTACACTGAGGCCTCAGGGCAGTTTTTAGGAAATCAGAATTTGCCCTGAATTGTCAGGGCTGCACAGGGCGAGGTATCCTGAAATGCCAGTGCTATTTATTTTTATATGCTGTTATTTTAGTGCTCACATTGTGTAACAGGTGAAGTGTGGTAGCGGGTAAAGCGACAATGGGTTACGAGAAAGGTCTCTTGTTCGATTCACGCTTGCTCTTACTCGTCCGTACACATTTTAGGCCCCGAAACCCAGGAGATTTTTTGTACAGTACATCTCGCTTCAAAGCGAGATTCGACACTACCCTGAGTTTTCAGTACGCAAAATTACCGTTATACTGAAATTACAGGACAATTATTCCCGTTATGCTGTTTTTCCAAGACTAGCACACGACACCTATCCTGAATTCAGGAGAATCAGGATAAATTATCCTGATAACTGAGGCCCTGCATGGAACAAACATACACATCAAGTCATCTTGATCCAGCAAAAATCTAGATATGTTCCGAGATCTGCAGGGAAATTAACGCCACAATGAGGCACACGCCAAGCGAAGAAGACACAAGGGAGAGCCAAGCTGTGCTGGGCACTGCATCCATCATGTAATCTAAACTCTACTTCTGCATATCTACGTTCCTGGGTTCTGCTGGAACATTGATGCCACAACGAGGCACACGCCAAGTGAAGAAGACGCAAGGGAGAGCCAAGCTGTGCTGGGCACTGCATCCATCATGTAATCTATACTCAACTTCTGCATATCTACGTTCCTGAGTTCTGCAAGAAAATTGACGCCACAATGAGGCACACGCCAAGTGAAGAAGACGCGAGGGAGAGCCAAGCTGTGCTGGGCACTGCATCCATCATGTAATCTAAACTCAACTTCTGCATATCTACGTTCCTGAGTTCTGCAAGAAAATTGACGCCACAATGAGGCACACGCCAAGTGAAGAAGACGCGAGGGAGAGCCAAGCCGTGCTGGGCACGGCGTCTATCGCCGCCCCTATTGGGGACCTGTCTCTGCCCTCTGCCCATGCCCGCAGCCTCTGCGCTTCTGTTGCGTACACAGCTTGGCCCTGCAGCCATGTGAGACACAGACAAAGGGAGGATTGACATGAAGTGAGAGCCAAGCCGTGCTGGGCACGGCGTCCATCGCTGCCGCGATGGCCGACCTTTCTCTGCCCTCCGCCCACGCCCGCAGCCGCTGCGCCTGCATTGAATACACGGCCTGACCCTGCAGCAAAGCAACTTCCAGACACAGGAGGCACGATGTGAGGCACATGCCAAGTGACCAGGAGACGAGGGAGAGCCAAGCTGTGCTGGGCACGGCGACCATCGCTGCCCCGATGGCCGACCTGTCTCTGCCCTCCGCCCACGCCCGCAGCCTCTGCGCCTCCGTTGCATACACGGCATGGCCCTACAGTGAGAGGAGGTACAGAAAATAGAATGGTTCACTGATTGGGTCAAAGAGACTGACAAAAGAGGTGAAGGAAAAAGGGCTACACAATTTGCCCTTGATATCGGAGGGTACGGACGAGAAAACACCGCTCGAGGCAGCTACTGTAACTTAATCTCAACTACCCAGCCAGTCAAATGACCACTCACCTGTTGGTCAAACCAGCGGCCTCGGCGCATCCAGGCAGACAGGATGGCCAGGACTATGCGGGGCGGTGTGAGGTAGCTCACTGTTGTTCCCGTACCCCTTACAGTGCGCATCTGATACAGGCAGACGAATACAGATGCGCAGAAAAACACACAAGAAATCACAGTATGAAGCGCAACTGAATCAGCACCTGAAGCAGTACCTGAAGATCCACCTGAGCCATCCATCTGTCAACACATCAGCAGCAGATTCGTCAACACACATCCCGCTAAGACCCACCCATCAGATAGCGAAACACCTGGAGCACAAAAAGGAGCATCACCTGGGGAACCAGCACGCGCGCGACGGTCTCGGGGTGTTCTCCCACGATGTTGAATGCTTGCTTGTTGGCCACCGCTTCCCCACTCAGCAGCAGATCCGTCAACACCAGTCCTGGTGATGCTGCGTGGATACCCACCCACCTAAGGCTAAACCAAACCAACCATCAGTCAGCACCGCACATCACCGCACATCACCTGGGGCACGAGCACGCGAGCGACTGTTTCAGGGTGTTCCCCCACGATGTTGAATGCTTGCTTGTTGGCCACCGTCGCTCCACTCAACAGCAGATCCGTCAGCACCAGCCCTGGCGATGCTGCATGGATACCCACTCTTCCCTTCCTCCCCGTTCTCTTTTCAGCCTTCCCTCCCTCACTCGCCCCCTCAATCGCCACCTCGCTCCCACCCGCACTCCCCACCACGCGCCCCACCTCGCTTCCCTCCTCCCTCCCCTCCTCATTCCCCTCCACTCGCCCCGCCACTCTCCCTTCTTCCACCAGCGACAACCCCAGTTGCCTGAGCGCACACTTGGTTGCACCGTATGCAGCATACTGGGGGGTAGCGCCCCCCCACGACCCCGCCCCTTCCAGATTGAACACATGGCCGGCTGTTTCGCCTGGTAGGGATGGTTGCTGCTGCTGCATGAGGCGCATAGCTGCCCGCGTGCAGAGCAGGGAACCCAGAAGGTTGGTGGAGACCACCTGGAGGGATGGGAAGAGAGGAAGTGCGAGGAACGTGGCTGGCTGTTTGGTCTGGCAGTGAGGGCGGCTGCTGCTGCATGAGGCGCGTGGCTGCCCGCGTGCAGAGCAGAGAACCTAACAGGTTGATGAAGACCACCTGGAGGAATGGGAAGAGAGGAAGTGCGAGGACACGTGGCCGGATGTTTGGTCTGGTAATGAGCAGCTGCTGCTGCATGAGGTGCATTGGTGCCTGCGTGCAGAGGAGTGAACCCAGAAGGTTGGTAGAGACCACCTGGAGGAATGGGAAGAGAGGAGGTGTGAGAAGTGGGAACAGACGAGGTTGGTCTGGCAGGGAGGGCTGCTGCTGCTGCATGAGGCGCATGGCTGCCTGCGTGCAGAGGATCGGGCCCAACAGATTGGTGGAGACCACATGGAGGGTTGATGGAGAGAGAGGAGTGAGAGGACATGTGGGTGGCTGCTTAGTCTGCTAGGTTTGCTTGGGTTGCTGCATGAGACACATTGCTGCGCACGTGCAGAGCAGAGAGCCCAGCAGGTTGGTGGAGACCACCTGGAGGCATGGGAGCAGCGTGGCAGGGAACCAGGGTGCAGGGATCTTGTTCAAATACTCACTCCGCATCCCACCCGCTCCATCTGTCAATGCATTTCAACACGAGTCAACACAAGTCAACGAAAGTCAACACAGCTCACCTGCTCCAGCTCGTGGTCTTCAAATTCATTGAAGGGCTTTGCCATGGGGTTGGTGCCTGCGTTGTTGACCTGTCATGGTCAACACGAGTCAATACAAGTCAACACAGGTCAACGCACGTCAACGCAAGTCCATGTATGTCAACACAAGTGATGGCCGGGGCTGGAATGATTGATCAATGGGTTGGTAGAACAACTGTGGGGTCCAGCATGGGGTTCGGATGGTAACGCCAGGTCACTCACCCAGATGTCAACTCGCCCCAGCTCCTGCCGTGCCACGTCAGCAAGCATCTGGACGTCGCTTGCCGACCGCACGTCGCACGCAATCCCAACCACTCTCTGCCGTCCAGACAACTGCGAATGTTCCTTCTGCTCTTGGAACCGTTTGCCATGTTCCTCCTCACCACCATGCGCCTGGGGTAGCTCCCACACCTCCCTGTTTGGAAAACATGCATCACAGAACACATCTCAAACACACAATATTTTTTTTCACGGAATCAGCAGGGCACAACTGAGCGCACAAGGTGGTGAGATCAGCATCATAGGCGACTGAAATCTGACCTGGTTGATTGCATCGACTTAGTTGACTCAGTTGACTCTGCCTGCGTTGACCTGGTCTTCACCAGCACAGCCAGGGGCGCACGCCCTGTGATGTGCCACGTGTCCTGCTGCAGTGCCCTCAGTGCCTCCTCCACCCCCTCCTCACTGCAGGAATAACGATGACAGAAGTTCCAAGAGACAAAGCGGGTGGGTGCCGGAAGGGGGAACACTTCACGATATTTCTCAAAGGTAACTCCTTTCTGGGGTAAGGATGGCAGAAGGAGCAGAAGTTCCAAAAGAAAAGGGGGCTGGTTGCGGGTGGGAGGGGGGGTTAGATGGGGTGTGGGGCAGGTTATTTGAAGCTTGGGATGACGATTGGTCAAGGAGATGGAAAGTGGTACCAGAAGGAAAAACATGGGCGTGTAACAGATAGAGCCCAATGATGTCATATCCACGTCAGCGCCACGTCATCTCTCACCTCCTTGATGTCAGCAACACGTCATCGCCGGCCAATAGGAACTCTCGAGCCATAGCCTTGCCCAGTCCCCTCGAGCCCCCAGTCAGGACAACTCTCCTGGGCGGCAGGCAAGCGGCAGCGCGCCGCCTCTGGTGCTTCTGCGTGACCTCGCCCACCCCCACCATGCACCCCAGGACTAGCCCTGCCGCCCAGCAGAACCACACCACGTCCCACCCTTGCACCCTCGAGCCTGAGAGCTCGCGAAGGGTTTCCAAGGCGACCCCAGGGATGGTGGTGAGGATGAGCGCTCGGCCCAGGTGCTGCGTGAACTGATGGTTGGGGGGGGGAGAGGAGGGAGAGAGAGGATGGATGTTCAGATGCCCCAGCTTTCCCACCTGAGAGCTCACCAAGAGTTTTCAAAACAACCCCAGGGATGGTGGTGAGGATGAGCGCTCGCCCCAGGTGTTGTGTGAACTGATGGTGGGAGAGAGCGGGGAAGAAGGGGGGAAGAGTGGGGGAAGAGGAAGGGAGGAAGGTGGTGCTGAAGATCGCGTATCAAAAGTAGTGCCTAGACGGCATCACAGGGGGTGCAGTGCTGAGTGAGGTGGCGAGGTGGTGAGGTGGTGAGGTGGTGAGGTGGTGAGGTGGTGAGGTGGTGAGGTGGCGAGGTGGCGAGGTGGTGAGGTGGCGAGGTGGCGAGGTGGCGAGGTGGCGAGGTGGTGAGGTGGCGAGGTGGTGAGGTGGCGAGGTGGCGAGGTGGCGAGGTGGCGAGGTGGTGAGGAAGAGGATGAGCGCTCGCCCCGAGTGGCGTGTGAACTTATGGGGGAGGGAGAGATAGAGGGACAGGGAAGCGTGTTGCGTGCCGAGTATCTAGACCCTTGGAAACTAGCGGGTGGGAAAGGGGGCTGCATGTGCGGAGGAAAGAGGGACGAACAAGATGGCTTGGTCTTATGCAAAATATAAGGAGAGGTTTGAGGCGCCCGAGAAAGCCTCACCTGCAGGAAATCCTCTTCTGCTTTCTCCAGGTATCCCCTCGCCTCCTCCGCGACCATCTTAGACAGCTCACACATGGTCTGGGGAACTGGGGCAGGCTGCTGCGCACTCCCATCCTCAGGCTTTCCAGTTGCACCAGCACCGACAGCTCAGAGGTTTTAAGACTCACCTGCAAGAAATCCTCCTCTGCTTTCTCCAGGTATCCCCTCGCCTCCTCCGCGACCGTCTTAGACGCCCCACGCGTGGCCTGGGAAGCAGAGGCAGGATACACACTCCCATCCTCAGGCTTTCCATCCGCACCGGCACGTGCAGCGGTTTCAGTTGCACTATCTTCACGAGCAGCGCGCGGGACGTTGCTTCTTCTTCCCGTCAGGACTCGAGGCACGTTGGCCAACGTGGCACGTCGACTTCCCGCCGGCACTCTACTGAAGCGGCTGGTAGTGGCTTGCGGCCTGGTAACGGCTGGATGTGAGTGTAAGAAGGTAGGGAGCTGGATCGGACGGCTCTGGGCTGTCGGGGTCGTGCAAAGCGCGCCACGATGCGGCTCGTGGCGTATGCCGCTCCGGACGGGTATGACCGTAGCGGATGTGAGCTGAACAGCACGGACTGGTAACGTTGTAACGGGTTTGTGCGTGGCAGCACAAGTTGGCGACGCCATGACTGTCAAACGCGGCGAGAAACGCGGCGAGGCGGCGAGCAAGGAGGCCATGAGGAACCAGTCAGAAGCTCGAGCTAGAAGGAAGAGTCAACCCCAACGGTAACCTGGCACCCAAACAGTGTGGCACCCCAGCCGTTATCCTGGACGCGTGCCCGAGTGGCTAGCCGAACAGGTCCGCTCAGCCGCTTTCAATTAGCGGACTAAGAGAATTAGCAAGTCGACCCAACTTATTTTTGCTGGGTTGACCAAGCAGGAAGCAGCTTCCGTTCCGTGCTGCTAAACGAGCCCATCAGAGGAGGATCGAATCGTGAGATGCAGGATCCCGGCCTACGCGACGCGATCAGGTAGACGAGCCCGCGACTGCGAGAGGAACCGTCCTGGAACCTGTCCAGCCGAGCCCAACCGAGTCAGACCGGATCGCACGAACTGAGCGAAAGCAGTGTGGATCAATCTCTCTCGGTTCCAGGCAGCACGGCGAGATGGATTGGGCGACGCGAGCGTGTGTGCATCTGGAATTGATCTCCAAGGAAGAGAGAGAAAGGTCCTTCTGACTGGGTAATGCCATGGCGGTGGCGCGTGCCTGACACTGGCTCGGCCACTTGGCAGGCATGCTGGATAAAATGAGAATTGCATGGATGCCTGATGACGGCGCGACTATGGTGTACGCTGGAACCATGCCACTGGAGGAAAATTCTTTCTTCTAGCCGTCAATTTAGGAATTTTGCTTTGGCCTCGATATCATCCTCTCTTGATCCGACAAATACCGCTGAGTCTAGGAGGTGGAATCTAGGTGGACAGGTGGCTGCGTGAATTCGGCGCGAACTGTCTGACACGTTTGTGAAAGGCGAAGGGATGGTTGAGACCCGTCGATTCGAATGATCGGACGGCAAGTTGAGGTTTTCGCGCAGTCGAGGTACGGACCTGGGCGACATGTGGAGAAATGCGACGAGAAGGATGCGATGAGCGGGAGGTGGTAACTCTTTGCGGCGAAAAATAAAGTTGGTGCTTAAAGGGGATCTAAAATAGCTGCTAACATTCACATACGGTGGAATCAATCAGAGCCTAGTGTACGACGAAAGCCTTGGAAGAACCACATGGTAGGAGCGTGAGGCTCGTGAGCTGAAGCTCAGGCATGAGTGGCTTCACATGACCTGTAGAGCCACAAGCCTTTATTTTAGGATACATGATGCCCCACTTGCTTCGGAAACCTGTGGGGCACCAGTAGATCAGTCATTGGCCCCCATGTCCTGTGCCCACATGGAAAAGGCCGAGCTAGAGGCAGGAGTGCAAAATCTTAATGGGTGGTGTGTGTTATCATTACGCGCGAATGCCTTTTGAGATGCTATCGCGCCCTGATGCTGCGTGGAGCCTGTTAGAACGTGGAGTGAGTATAATTAATGGAGGGAGGGAGGGAAGGAGGGACACAAGGGCATATACGGTAGAGGGTTGGGAAAGGGTGTGAAAGAGGAAACATGTCAAGAGCAGCAGCTTGTGGGCTGAGAAGCCAGTTGTGAGAAGAAAGAATGAAATCAAGCATATGGTGTATATACACTACATGCATGTAGACATACATATCAATATGTCTTTTTTTTTTGTAGACACACCTTTCGAAAGTACTTGGTGCGGAGCTTGATGGCTAGGTGGATGCAGGAGACCACATCTAATACGAGCTCCACATCGTTGAACATCTGATAGGTTGAAAGGGGCAGAGAGCGGTAACAGGGCATTGGTGTGTAAAGTAGAGAGGTTGGGGAGTGTGAATGCAGGAGACCACATCCAACACCAGCTCCACATCGTTGAACATCTGACAGGTTGAGAGGGGCACAGAGGGGTGAGAGCATTAATGTGAAGGGTTGAGAGGTTAGAGAGCAGAGCAGGTGGGTGCAAGAGACTACATCCAACACCAGCTCCACACCGTTGAAAATCTGATGGGGACAGTGGCGGAAGCAGAGTTTGATGAAAGCACCAGTGTGAACGTTAGAGGGGTACGGAAACCGCTTGGTCCGGCAGGGGAGGGAGAGCGCGGAGGGACAGAGAGTGCAAAAAGGACAAGATGGGAAGAAGGGATTGTGCAGAGACACACCTTAATAGCTCAGACTCCTCCACCAGTAGCAGTCTCTTTCTGATGCCCCTCAGCATCGCCGCCACACAGAACACTGCCAAGTCCTCATCCTCCTCTCTTGCCGAGTGAGGGACGGAGGACCAGGCGAGAGAGTGGAGACAGTAGGGAGGAGCAGATAAGAGGAGGGGGTTCAGGAGACAAAACACACCTTGATGGCTTCGTCAGACCCCTCCACCAGCAGCAGTCTCTTCCTGTTGACCCTCAGAATGGCCGCCACACAGAACACTGCCAAATCCTCATCCCCCACCCGCGCCTCCCCCCACTGAGACATCAAACTCGCCCCCCCCTCCACATCCTGTGCTGTCAACTGCCCCGACCGCCATATCCCCCCTCTCCTCCCCCCGCCCAGCCCCATCACGTCAAACCCCCCCAGAGCCGACCCCGAGCCTTGGTTGGAAGCGGTGGAGAACGGTACGGGGGTGGTGGCGGCGTCGTTGGTGGGGGAGTCGAGGGGCGGGAGGGGGCCGGTAGACCAGGTGTGGGGCTCGGCCACGAGGTTGAGACCCTCGGGGGGGTGGTGGAGGAGAACGGATGCCATGCGTGAGTCAAAGTCCGCTGCCCACATCATCTGGGGGACAAGGGATGGGGTAGGTAGGGATGGAGGACGGGGACAGGGGGTAAGGAGGAGCCTTTCGTGAGGTGCCCCAACAGCAGGCCCTGCAACGGAGGTTGAGACCCTCAGGGGACCGGTGGACCAGGTGTGGGGCTCGGCCACGAGGTTGAGACCCTCAGGGGGGTGGTGGAGGAGCACAGAAGCCATTCTCGAGTCGAAATCAGCTGCCCACATCATCTGGTGATCAGGGTATGAGGAACAGGGGCACAGGAGCAGAGGGTCAGAAATTGTTGAAAGGGGTGGGAGGGGACCGGTGGACCAGGTGTGCGGCTCGGCCACGAGATTAAGGCCCTCGGGGTGGTGGTGGAGGAGAACAGAGGACATGTGTGAGTCAAAGTCAGCTGCTCACATCATCTGGGGAAGGGGGGAAGGGGAACAGGGGACAGGGGACAGGGGAGGAAAGGGAGGGTTACCAGGTGTGGGGCTCGGCCACGAGGTTGAGGCCTTGAGGGGGGTGGTGGAGAAGCTCTGATGCCATGCGTGAGTCGAAATCCGCCGCCCACACACATCATCTAGAGGAGGGAGGATGGGGGACGAGGGGTGGGGGATGGGGGCTCAGCGGTAAGAAAGAGGTTGAGGCCCTCAGATTGGTGGTGGAGGAGCACGGATGCCCTCCGCAAGTCAAAGTTCTGCAATCCCGATTCTCCCACAAACGCACCTCTCACATGACGATCACGTCAACCAAAGGCAGTTCTCTATGGAACAGCACCAGCAGCATGCGGAAGGCGAACATGAAGTTGTCCACTCCCAGCTCCTCGGCTCGGGGTGAGGTAACTAACCACATTCTCCACAACCCACCTTCTACTTCTAACCAACGCACCTCCCACATGACAATGACGTCCACCAAAGGCAGTTCTCTTCGGAACAGCACCAGCAGCATGCGGAAGGCGAACATGAAGTTGTCGGCGCCCAGCTCCTCCAGGTGCGAGGCCAGCTCGGGGTCCACCAGCGCCACCACGTCCCGCAGCACCGCTAGCTGCCGCAGGATGCCCACCGGCCCCTCCAACACAAAGTTGTGCCTCTGTGTAAGTGGTGGGAAGGGGGGGAGGGGGTTGGGAGGGATTGGGAGGGGTTGGGAGGGGTTGGGAGGGGTGCAGAGGAAGGTGCCCTGCTAGCTCGGGGTCCACCAGCGCCACCACGTCTCGTAACACCGCTAGCTGCCGAAGAATGCCCACCGGCCCCTCCAGCACAAAATTATGGTTCTGTGTAAGTGGTGGGGGGCTGGGGGTTGGGAGGGGTTGGGAGGGGTGCAGAGGAAGGTGAGAGCATGAAATGGTTGAAAGGGCTCGCAACATGGGAGGGAAGGCATTTGGAGCAGCAACTTTGAAACACATTGTGAGACGAGGCCAGACAAGGATGGGATGAGCGGTATGGCTTACAATGCGGGAGAAGAGGCACTCGAAGCACCAGAAGGCGTCAGCAGGATGGCCGTAGAGCATGATGAAAGGCGAGAGGATGTCGCACATGCCTGGTGGATGATTGGGGAGAAGGGTTGAAGTTTGGGAGGTGATGCAGGGAGGTGCATTGAGAGACACCATCGAGCTAATTGGCAGGATCGCCGTAGAGCATGATGAATGGCGAGAGGATGTCACACATGCCTGGTGGTTGAGGTAGAGGGAAGGGATGGAAAAGGGAAGATGATGCAGGAGGGATGCATTGAGACGCCATAGGGCTTGATTATTGACAGGACGGCCGTAGAGCATGATGAATGGCGAGAGGATGTCGCACATGCATGGTCGTTGATTGGGGTTGAGGGGAGGTGGAGGAGAAGGGAAGAGGGGAGGGGACGAATTGAGATGTCATGGGGGAGACGGGAGGAGACGCATTGAGATCTGCCTGGAAAAGAGCACCTCACAGCCTGTGCAACTGCATCTCACAGCTTGCTCGCCTCACACATGCTGCTGCTACAAGGACACACCTTGGCAGAAGCCAGTGACAGGGTCGATCCAAGCATGAACGGCCAGGATGTCACACATGGTGGCGCGGTTCCTCTCCTCTTCATGTGGTAGACTGCACCCTAAAGCATTACAGCTTGTGCAACTGCACCTTACAGCTTCCTGTGCCTCACACATGCTGGTATGGCCATCACAAGCACGACGCACCTTGGCAGAAGCCAGTAGTGGGGTCGATCCAGGCAGAAGCCTGTCCGCGTGCACCTTACAGCTTGCTTGCCTGACACATGCTGCTGTGCTATAAAGACACACCTTGACAGAAGCCAGTGGCAGGGTCGATCCAGGCATGAACGGCCAGGATGTCACACATGGTGGCGCGGTTCCTCTCTGTCTGGTAGAACGCCATGTGTGTGTCTGTGCGCTCCACATCCACCGCTGCGGTAGGGGACAGGTCAGAATAGGAGGGAAGGGAAGGATTCAGATGAGGAGGGAAGACACTGGTTCCTCTCTGATTGATAGAACGCCATGTGCGTGTCCGTGCGCTCCACATCGACAGCTGTGGAGAGGACAAGGAGAGACACAGTGACAGAGTGTCACGCATGGTGGGGCGGTTCCTCTCTGCTTGGTAGAACGCCATGTGTGTGTCTGTGCGCTCCACATCCACGGATGTGGGAGAGAAGGGCAAGAGGAGACAGTCACACAGAAACAAAGAGTCTCAGGTTGCAGCTCCAGGGATGTCACACATGGTGGTGTGGTTCCTCTCTGCCTGGCAGAACGCCATGTGTGTGTCTGTGCGCTCCACATCTACGGCTGTTGAAGGGAGCAAAGAGTGGAGGGGAGAGAGGAGCAGAGGAGAAGGCTTAGGAGAGGGGAGGCAACAATGTTGGGTTCCGGATTTTGAATCTAGAAATGTCACACATGGTGGCAACGCTACGCTACTCACATATCTTGTGCAGCGTCCACAGCCAGTCAGCAACGCGCTCCACTGTGACACCCAATTGAGCAGCCATCACTGGATCAACTGTCAACTGCGCCTTCTGCCCTCCACCTCCCACCCCTCTCCTCCCTCACATACCTGATTTTGAGATATGGCAACGCTACTCACATATCTTGTGCAGCGTCCACAGCTAGTCAGCAACACGCTCCACCGTGACACCCAGACGAGCAGCCACCACCGGATCAACTGTCAACTGTGCCTTCATCCTCTCCCCCCTCCCCCTCTCTCTCCTCCCTCACATTCCTGCTTTTGAGACGTGTCAAGGCTACTCACATATCTTGTGCAGCGTCCACAGCCAGTCAGCGACGCGCTCCACCGTGACACCCAGCCTGGCTGCCACCACTGGATCAACTGTCAACTGCGCCTTCTGCCCTCCCTCCTCCTCCACTCCCCCTTCGCCTCCCTCACCTCCCTTGCCCTCCTCCTCCTTCCCACTCTCCCCCACCCCATCTCCTCCCTCTCCTCCCTCTCCCTTCCCCGCCCCCCCTCCTCCACCCTCACCCCCATCCCTCTCCACCCCTCCGCTGCTCCCCCTGCTCCCCCTGCTCCCCCTGCTCCCCCTACTCCCCTTCTCACTCCCACCGCCTGCGCCTCCCCTCGCCTCCCCTCCTCCCTCTCCCCTCCCGTCCACCCCTCCCTCCGCCTCCTCCTCATCATCATGCCCTAGGATCCAAGCCCACACCTGTTCAGCAGTGGGGTTCTTTCCATTGAAGCTTTTCCTTTGCATGTAAGCCTGCAGAATGCTCTGTCTCTGCTCTGCTGCTTGGCTACTCCCTCCCATGCTTGCACCCGTCTGAATCCCTTCAATACCACTCCCCTGCACGGTTACCCCTGTCCCTCCCTCTCCTCCCCTTTCTCCTGCTCCTCCTGCTCCTCCTGCTCCCCCTCCTGCTCCCTGCTCTATGCTGCCCTGCCCTTCCCCGTCATCCTTCCCACCACTCACCCCTCCCAATCCCCCTCCTCTGTTCTCCCCTCTTTGCGGTGCTGCTCTGCTCGTCCCTGCTCGCCCTGTTGCCCTGCCCTCTCCCATGCCTCTCGGCGTGCTCGGCCCCTCAACCTCCTCTCCCGACTGCTCCTGCTCTGCCCCCACCACTGCGCCTGTAGCACCTAACCCCTCTCGCTCTGCTGTTCCTGCGGCTCCTACCACTCCCAAGACACCTGCGCCAGCAGCAGCAGCAGCGGTTACTGGTAACAGTGACGGCCTTGTTACTGCCGCTGCTCCTCTCTCCTCCCCCACCCTCCCTTCTCTAACCCCTTCCAGCCTAACTGCACCATCCATTGTCCGTTCCGCCCCCCTTCCCTCTCCCCTGCCCTCCGCCCTCCCCTCCCCCCCACTGTGCCACACACGCAGTGACGCCTCCCCTGGTGCCCCCCTTCCCCCCACACTGCGGCCAATGGCACACCCTGCTGCTACAGGGGCAGGATCAGCATCATCAGCACTCTCACGCTCGCCAGCAGCAGCGTCATCATCAGCAGCACCGTCATTGCGACTAACAGGAGCAGCAGCACCGGTGCCATCACCATCAGCAGCAGCACTGGTAGCGGTACCACCACCCAACGCACTGCGTGCCTGTAGCGCTTCCCACACATCACGCTCATTGTTTCCTTCCCTCTCCCTCTCCTCCACAATATCCCCTCCTCCCCCAAAGCTCATCCGCTCTCTGCTCCCCAGTGCACTCTCCCGCCCATGCTGCCCCAGCCCCTGACTACCACTCCGCACCATCCCCCACCCCTCTCCCCCCTCTGCAGACCCTGCAACAGCCCCTGCTACAGGCTCTGCTACAAGACCCGCTACAGTCCCCACCACTACAGCCCCCCCTACAGGCTCTGCTACAGGCGAGGGCGCAGTGATTCCTGCAAAGTCAACCAGAGTCATGCCTGCACTGCGGGAGCGGCGTGAGGAGGAGGAGGAACCGGCACTGTCAGGGCGGTGGGTGAGGAGGGAGGAGGAGGAGGGCGGGAGGAGCGCGGTGGAGGGGGACGGGGAGGCTGCAGCAGAAGAGGTGCTTCGGGGAGGGGTGGAGGAGTGGGAGTGAATGGAGAGGTGCCCAGGGATAGGAGTACCAGAGCTGGATAGACCAGGAGCGCTGCCAGCAGCGTTGCCAGCAGTGTTGCCAGTAGTATTGCCAGCAGTGTTGCCAAAAGCAGTGGACGGACGGGTTGGTTGGCTGTTAGACGATGAAAGGTTGGTGCTGGCGCTAGGAGCCAAGCCCTTGCCGCCCAGCAGCTCATCCAGTGACGTGCTCCCCCAATCCGCGCTCAGTACCTTCCGGAGCCGTCTCCTGGCGCCAGTCCTCCCTCCCCCTCGCCCTTCTCCTCCCCCCGCTCCCCCCACTCCTCCTCCCCCTCCGCCACCCAGCGCTCCCCCTTCATGCCCCTCTCCCCCTATCTTCCCCGCAATCTTTCCCCCGCCCAGCACTCCCCCTCCTCCGCCGTCTCCCTGTCCCGCTCCTCCTGCCCCCACGCCCACTCCTCCCCCTCCCCCACCTCCTTCCCTCCCCCCGAAGCTATCTGATGCGCCCAGATATCCAATCAGCTTCTTATGCGCCTTCTTCATTCCCCTCACCCACGCTGCGCCCGCTCCCCCTTCCCCCCCTCCCTTGTGCGCCCCCTGCGCCGCCCCCACTCCCCCAAACTCCCCCACTGGCGGCCTCCCCTCCTTCCCCAACCTCCTAGCCCCCGCTCCCTCATCCGTCCCTCCCGCCCCACCCTCCCTGCCCTCCCACCCGCCCTCCCCTCCCCCCTCCTCCACCCCTTCATCCTCCCCCCGTTCGCCCCCTTCCCCTCCCTGCCCAATCCCCCCGCCCCCTCCACCCACTCCGCCACTCACAGCGTGCCACCTGTCAGCACCAGCTGCGGCATGCATAGGCGAATCCACATCCCGCTCCCCACCCACAGCCGGTAGGCTACTACTGAAGCTCTTCGCTAGAGGCACATCTGAATACTGCTGCTTCTGGGATTCAGACGATCTGTAGTGGTCCTGAACCGGTGCTCTGTGGTGCAGAGCGGTACCGGCAGAAGGGTGGGAGGAAGAGGAGGAAAACCCAGAAGCACTGAAAGCACCACCAGATGAGCCCGAGGAAGCAGAAGGCCCGGAGGGACTGTCTAAAATTGAACTCGATACAGGCAGTTTGCTTTCTTTCTTCTTTATATCCTTCACCACTCCCTGCAGCAGCCTAGTCCACCTCACCTTCTGCTGCTTCCTCTTCTCCCCCCCCTCGTGTTCCCCCCCTTCATCCAACCCACTGCCCTCCCCCCCTTCTTCCCCACCCTCGTTCTCTCTACTCCCCTCCATCATCCCATCCCCGATCCAACCCCTGCCTGACTGACCGCTCTCCTCTCCCTCCCCCTCCCGTCTCTCCCTCCGCGCTATCCGTTCAGGCTGGGCACTCATCGAACGAGAAAAGCTCCTATTCTCCGCCCTCCTCCTGTTCCGCGCGCCCTCCCCACTCGGATCCTCCCCCCTCTCCCCCCCTTCCCCCGGCCTCCTCCCCGGTTCCTGCCCCCCTGCCCCTGAACGCGCGCCTTGTGCCCCTGTAGGCGCATCCTCTCCCCCATGCGCCCCTGCCCATGCTCCCCCCGCTCCCCCTGCTGCTCCTCCCCCTGTTGCTGCTGCAGCTGCAACAGCCGCTGCTGCTAATCCCCCTGCTGCTGCCCCATCCGCATCCTCTCCCCCAGGCCCTTCCCCCGCGCTAGCAGCACTGCCTGACGCGCCAGCCTCAGCTTTCCCCCTTGCGCGCGTCCCAGTCCCCACGCCAGCTACCCCACTGCTTGCTCCGCCTGCCCCCCCCGCCCCTGCGCCTCCTGCGCCTCCCCCTCCTGCGCCACCGCCCCCTGCGCCTCCCCCTGCGCCCCCTCCCCCAGGAAAGGCGTCCTGTGCGCGGAGCTTATCCAAATTATCCACCCGCCGCTGCCTCTCCCGCGCCCATTTCGCCCTCATCTCCTCCATCCCCTCCCCTGATCCCGCCTGCCCGCCCCCCGCGCTCCCCTGCCCCCCTCCCCCTCCGCCTTTCCCCCCTCTACTCGACTCAGCAGCACTCCCCCCCGGCTTCCTATCCCCGTCCTCACTCCTCCGCCTCATCTCCCCCTTCTTTCTCTCTCTCGCCTCCTTCCCCCCCGCCCCTTCCCCTTTCCCCACCCCAAGCTCCTCTTTCCCCGCCCTCTTTTCCTTGGGACTATCCTTTGCACCACCACTGGCACTGCCCCCCTTCTCCCCTTCCACACCCTCCCCTTTCCCCCCTCTCTCCCCCTTCTCTCCCCCCACCCCTCCTCCGCCGCCCTGCCTCCCTTTCTCCCCCTCTCTCCCCGCCTCCCCTCCCCCTTCCCCTCCCTCCTCCTCCTCCTCTTCCTCCTCATCCGTATCCCGCATCCCCTCCTGCCCCTCACCCTCCCACTCCTCCTCCAAATCCTCCTCGTCCTCCTCCTCCCCTCCCGGCCGCACAAACAGCCCTCTCGGGTCATCCAAATCAAACATGTCCACATCGCAACTGAAAGAGAACGAGGAGAAGGAACTCAGTCTAGGCCCACCCTCCTCTATAAGCTGATCCAGTCTAAGCTGAGTGGAACTCCCAGCAGATCCCCTCTCAGAGTACTGTCGAGAAGGGGGGTATCGCAGGTCACTGCTTCCCCCACTAGCAGAGCTTCTAGCCCCTGCCCCCCCCAGCACGCTTCGATCGGGGGGAGTGTTGCTCCTACTGCTGCTCCCGCCCCCCGCTCTTCCTCCCCCCCCGCTCCCCCCTGCTTCCCCGCTAGGGGATGTAGTAGCTGGAGATGGGACGTTGGCAGTGCTGCTTCCGGGGGTGGTTCCCAAGTTACCCGGGGTGTTTCCGGGGTGGATAATGCGCACGTCCATTATGCGCGTTCCCACAGCAAAGGCCAGGTGACCAGAGCCCACGTTGCTGTGCATCTGCTGGCACTGCAGCAGAAGCTGCTGGTACCGCTCCCTGTAATGAGGCCATAGGGATGATAGGGGGGAGGGGAGGAAAATGGGAAGGAAAGAGGGGGAAGAAATTGGTTTGGCGCGAAGGGGTGAAAGGGAATACAGGCAGGGTGGGGAGAGAGAAGACAGTGTGGTGCCATGACGTGCAGTTACTGGTGGGGTGGAAGGGAAGGGAAGGGGAGGGATGACAAAGCACTTGTGAGAATTCTCACAATTGAACAGAATGGCACTAGTAACCTCCTAGCCTCGTGCATGTAGTTCCAATCCTTCGCGGAGGATTCGAGGACGAAGCAGTTGTGTGATGTCACCACCATCCTTCCCCTTACCCTCCCCACTCCCTCCCCTTCGACCTTTCCCCGACTCCCAATAGAGTGAAACAAAACGAACCTCCTGGCCTCGCGCACGTAATTCCTCTCCTCTGCGGTGGACTCGAGGGAGAAGCAGCCGAGCAGGAACTCCCACACCTCTGGTGCCCCCTAACCTTCCCTCCCAGACACTCCTCCTAGAGTCAAGTCAAGCACTTGTGTGGTGTCAGTACGAACCTTCTGGCCTCGCGCACGTAGTTCCTCTCCTCTGCGGTGGATTCGAGGGAGACGCGCTTCTCCTCTCTGGTGCCACCGACCTTTTCCCTTGCAACTTTCCAGACCTTCTCCTTACAGTCTATTAAACGAACCTCCTGGCTTCGCGCACGTAGTTCCTCTCCTCTGCGGTGGACTCGAGGGAGAAACAGCCGAGCAGAAACTCCCACACCTCGCCACGTATTGACTTGTCCACTCCCTGCGCGCACACAGGGGAAGGAAGAGGAGCAGGGAGTTACAGTGCAGATGAGAGACAGCACTTGAGGTGCCAGCAGCCGAGGGGGTTCAATCATGAGACAGTGTGTACATGAGAGCATAAACGAGGAATTTAAGTAGGTGGGTGGGGCCTAAGGAAGAGCATAAGCGGAGTGTGAGGCGTCACGAGAGCGAGGGAGAGAAGGATATTGTCAATGGGCAGTTCATCCCCGTTATAAAGCTGGAAGCCGTCTCACCCCTTAAGAACCGCCTTGCAGCATGTGCACCAGATGCTCCTGGTGATTCGAATCCGAAGCAAAAGTTGATTGAGTCGACGCAAGACTTACCCCTTCGAGAATGACTTGGAGAACTAACAGCATGCGCACCAGACGCACCTGTCGTGATTGCTGAGTCGACTCCCCTTCGAGAATCGCCTTGAGAACTTGCGGCATGCGCACCAGACGCCCCTAATGATTTGAAGGGTATTTAACCCACAGCGAAAAACGCTTCAGTCGACCCCAAACTCACCCCTTCAAGAATCGCCTTGAGCACTTGCGGCATGCGCACCAGACGCCCCTAATGATTTGAAGGGTATTTAACCCACAGCGAAAAACGCTTCAGTCGACCCCAAACTCACCCCTTCAAGAATCGCCTTGAGCACTTGCGGCATGCGCACCAGACGCCCCTGGTGATTCGAAGGGTATTTAACTTACCCCCTCAAGTATTGCTTTGAGCACTTGCGGCATGCGCACCAGACGACCTTCCGCGTCGAACGCGCTCTTCCACATGCGCGGCTTCAGCCGCTTCGCGCGCCCCATCTGGCGCAGGGGGAAGGGGGAACGGGGGGGGGGGTGTTGGGGAGGGAGGGGTGGGCAAAGGGGGGATGCGCAGCATTTAAGAGAGAGGCGTGCTCTTCCACATGCGCGGCTTCAAACGCTTCGCGCGCCCCATCTGGCACAGCGGGAGGGGGGAAAGTGGGGGAAAGGCGGAGCAGCGGGGAGATTGGGGGAGAAAGAGGAAGGAAATGAAAGGGCGGTTAGGAGAGTAATCGAAACCGGGGAAGCGGGGGAAGCGGGGAAGGTGAGAGAGGGGTGACGGTGGTGCAGACGCGGGGAAGGGGGGGTCATTGGGAAAGGGAGAGGGCGGAAACGCGAGGGATGTTCGGAAAGGGGCCCGCTCCTCCGCATGTGTAACATCAGGTGCTTCGGTCGGCCCATCTGACGCAGGAAATCGCAACGAAACGGAGGAGCAATGTACATGTGAGGAAAATTAAAATTGGATGACGAAACGCTTAAAACGATTAAACGATTTGTGCGACGAAATGAATTCGTTAGATTTTGTTAGAACGATACATTGACTAAAAAAATCTGCTCGCTTTTGCTGTCTCTGGATCAATGTTTCTTTCACAAACATCCTCCGGATGCTCATCCTTGGCCCCATTCGTTTCAAAGTTGGACGGCTAGATAGACGGTATGTGCGTAGCTTAGCCGTGGGACGGCTAAATAAACGGAACGTGCGAAACCGTCAGGAGAGATTTGAGGCATCTGAAGGAACGGCTCGAAGGCGGAACATGCGCGGCCATCAGATACGAAAACGAAGAGCGCAAATAAGTAAATTAAAACAAGGTGGCGGTCTAGCGTTGACTCCTTATCAGTACAGCGAGCGGTAGAAGCAGGTTTCTAATACAAAAAGCCTCTGGACACTCTTTAAAGGGCTGTTAGGGCTAAGACTGACGGACCTGCGATGCCCAGCCAGTCGGTCGATTCCGAGCGTCGGCAGATATCCAGCTGCCGTCCTTTATTCGCGGCGGGCCGTCCGGCCGACCCGGGCCCCCCCGTGACTCGCCCGCTCCGCCTTGTCGGAACGCCATTGCGAACTAACCGGCTGAAATAACCGGTCTGACTAACCGGCTGAAATAACTGCTTGATTTAACCGGCTAATAGTAACCAGTCGAAGAAGCCGGCCGAGCGACCATAAATTATGGGGAACGACGCAAGCGGGTGTTTGCACATGGGTAACTTATTACGAGTTGTTTAGAGACGATCTTATCGCGTTCGGGGCCCCAATGGAGGGAAATGCCGAAAGGGAAGCTTCCAGAAAGGCCTACGATAGAACAGGTAAACCTAGCACATGTTGTGCAAAGCAGGAAAAAGGAAAACCGGCAAGATTCTATGCGATGCCTTTCCGTTGAATAAGATGGAATGGAACAAGAGACGCGAGAAAAAGGGGAAGAGAAGAGGGAAAGAAAAGGACAGCAATGGAGGAGGTTGGTTTGCTGGTGAGAAGTAACGGCAATCCCGAGAATCGAGAAACGTGGATGCGCCGACGAGGCAATGAGGGGGGGAAGATGGGAGGGGAATGGATGGGAGAAGGGAAGAATGCCTCGAAAATACCGAACTGAATCGAAATAAACCAATTAGCACGCAGGAGCACCAGACCACCAGTTGCCAGAGGGGTGGTGCCTGTCGGGAACGGGGATTGCCAACAGGCGGACGCGGCTTTTCGCGAAACCAGCAATTCGCGAAGGTATGTAACCTTTTTGTGGGTTAAAAAACTAAGACAGGGTAAATCTAGGAACAATTGTGGGTCTTGTTGGCTCCCTCTCTCACCCAACACACCGAGAATTCTGTCTGAATGGTGTGGGTCAGGTGTGGATAGATAGACCAGCAACAAAACAAATACAACATGTACAAACAACATAATTGTTCACTCGTCACGCGTTCGTGCACACAGCCGCTGCAAAGTTGGCAAAATCTCATCCAACAATGTGTTCAAATCACTCCCAACAGTCCCAACCTTCAGCTCCTGCAACACCTCAGCCTTCCCTGGCCTCATGCTTGGCCGTTTCTCCAACCTTTCCCCTCCTTCGCTAGTGTCTCCGTGTGGCTCCACAGAATCACCACTGCACTGCTGCCTGTGGTGATTGGAATCCACCACCAGAACCGGCACGCCGTCAAGTGCAGTGTGTGTCAAGGTGCCATCCAACGTGGAACTGAAGGAGGGGGCTGCACGGAGCAGCAGGTGAGGGTGCAAGAGAAATACTACTATGAATTCCCAGGAGTGAATTCAGTATGCTTACGATATGCCACCCAGCAGCAGCGGCACGGCACCCTGTCGAGTGCAGTGTGTGTCAAGGTGCCGTCCAACGTGGAACTGAAGGAGTGGGCTGCAGGGAGCAACAGATGAGGGTGCACGGGAATCGATTCACAGTATTCTTAAAAGGGAATCCAATATGGCTACGATCCACACGTGGCAGCGATATGCCATCGAGTGCACTGTGTGTCAAGGATCCGTCTAAAGAGGCGCTGAAGGAGTGGGGTGCTGGAAGGAGTGGGGTGCTGGAAGGAGTGGGGTGCTGGAAGGAGTGGGGTGCTGGAAGGAGTGGGGTGCTGGAAGGAGTGGGGTGCTGGAAGGAGTGGGGTGCTGGAAGGAGTGGGGTGCTGGAAGGAGTGGGGTGCTGGAAGGAGTGGGGTGCTGGAAGGAGTGGGGTGCTGGAAGGAGTGGGGTGCTGGAAGGAGTGGGGTGCTGGAAGGAGTGGGGTGCTGGAAGGAGTGGGGTGCTGGAAGGAGTGGGGTGCTGGAAGGAGTGGGGTGCTGGAAGGAGTGGGGTGCTGGAAGGAGTGGGGTGCTGAGAGTGTCATACACACAGAGATAGGGATCGAGTGTCCAATAAGGGGGGAAAAGGGAGAACATGGGTAGAGTATCAGGAGAATGAGGGAAAACTGTGGGGCAAGTATAAGGAAGATACAGGAAAAACATAGGAAAGATTTGGAGAGAATCCGGGAAATGTGCCGACAGCAGCGGCCAGCACAGCTACACACCTGCTGCATGTTCCGGACCTGTCCTGTGAGAACCTTCCAGGAACCAGCGGTCGTACAGCTGGTGTAGGCGCTGCAGGTATGGCAAGTCAACGGAGGTCTCTTCTGAGCGAGACCTGTGTGGGAGAGGTGATGTGGGCGGTCAGAAGGATGAGACGGGTGTGTTTTGAGTCGACTCAAGGCACAGTGGGCACACAGTGCATGCAGGCGCTGCAGGTATGGCAAGTCAACAAACGTCTCTTCTGAGCGAGAGCTGCGTGGGAATAGGTGATTTGGGCGGGAAGAGGGATGAGAGGGGTGCAAAGGAGATAAGGAAGGGCGAAGGACGTGGCGCACAAATAGGAACAGGGAGGGTTAGAGTGGTTGAGAGTGGTTGAGAGTGAGTGAGAGTGGGTGGGTGGTCTTGGAGAAGTAAAGTTTGAAAAACAGTGGCAGAGACAGAGGCAGGGGGACGCAGACGCAGAGACAGTGAGGGAGGGAGGGAGAGACTTAGCAGAGCGGCACAGGGCAGAGGAGGGGGAGTAGAGAGTGAACCGTTGCTGCTGGGGATTCTTTCAGAATTGTCAAAAGACGCTGACAAGTTGCAAGTTGAGGCAGACAGACCGTTGCAACAAGTTGAGGCAACACAGTGACAGAGACTGAGGCAGACAGACAGACACAGTTGTAGTGAGGGAAGGAGGAAAAGACTTATCAGAGCAGCATGGGCAGAGGTGGAGGGGCACAAGGCGGAGGAGGGGGAAAGAGCACACCGTTGCTTTAGTCGCTGCAGACACACAGAGGGGTCTGCTCTGAGGTAGATGAAGGCATCCGGTACCTGATGGGTGGGGAGAGTGGTGTACGGTGGGGGGATAGAGAGCACACCGTTGCCTCAGGCGCTGCAGACACACAGAGGGGTCTGCTCTCAGGTATATGAAGGCATCTGGTACCTGATGGGAGGGGAGAGTGGTGTACGGTGGGAGCATAGGGAAGAGCACACCATTGCTTTAGACGATGCAGACACACAGAGGGGTCTGCTCTGAGGTAGATGAGTGTACTGGGTACCTGTTGGGGGAGGGGTGGTAGGAGGGAAATCGTGAGGGGTACTACCACAGCAGGAAGAATGGACAGCACGGATCGACCCACGAGTCATATAGTGCTTGACCTAGTGGTACAAACAGACTTCGCACCACTGCTGCCAGTGCAAATACAAGGCGGTCACAGAAGAGGGGACAATCGGTCGCGCAACTTGCAATATAATCTACTCAAGACAGGTCTCCACGAGCCACGTACTCACCACCCCAGGAAGCATGGGCTGCACGGAATCGACCCACATGAGCCAGTCATAAAGAGCATCTTCTAGTGAGGGGAGCAAGGGGACTGCGGTGGGACTCACGCCATGGAAGCTACTCACGGCAGGTAATCACCACCCCAGGCAGCATGGGCAGCACGGCATCGACTCAGGAAACGTAGAACGCCTATTCTAGCAGTGGTAAAGATGAAAACAAAGTGATGTAGCAGAGAAGCTCATCACCCCAGGCAGTATCGGGCAGCACGGCGTCGAACCAGGAACAATGGAGTGGAAATGGTAATGGTAATGATAATGGTAATGGTAATGATAATGGTAATGGTAATGGTAATGGTATTGATAATGGTAATGGTAATGGTACTGATACTGGTAATGGTAATGGTCTTGATAATGGCAATGGTAATGGTAATGGTAATGGTAATGGTAATGATAATGGTAATGGTAGTGGTAATGATAATGGTAATGGTAATGGTAATGGTAATAGTAATGGTAATGGTAGTGGTAATGGTAATGATAATGGTAATGGTAGTGGTAATGGTAATGGTAATGATAATGGTAATGGTAGTGGTAATGATAATGGTAATGATAATGGTAATGGTAATGGTAGTGGTAGTGGTAATGGTAATGGTAATGGTAGTGGTAGTGGTAATGGTAATGGTAATGATAATGGTAATGGTAGTTGTAATATTAATGGTATTGTAATGGTAATAATAGTGGTAGTGGTAATGATAATGGTATTGGTAATGGTAACTCACCACGCCAGGCAACATGGGCAGCACGGCATCGACCCAGGAATCATAGAGTGCCTCCTCTAGTGGCGTGAACAGCCCTCCCGCCACTGCTGCCGGTGCAAACACGAGACGGTCGCAGAAGAAAAGAGAGAGAGTTTGCAGAGTAGAGGGAGGATGGGGAGCAAGGGGAGAGCCCCTCGATCTGTCTGTGGAATGTGCACAGTAACTCACCACGCCAGGCAACATGGGCAGCACGGCATCGACCCAGGAATCATAGAGTGCCTCCTCTAGTGGCGTGAACAGCCCTCCCGCCACTGCTGCCGGTGCAAACACGAGGCGGTCGCAGAAGAAAAGAGAGAGAGTTTGCAGAGTAGAGGGAGGATGGGGAGCAAGGGGAGAGACCCTCGATCTGTCTGTGGAATGTGCACAGTAACTCACCACGCCAGGCAACATGGGCAGCACGGCATCGACCCAGGAATCATAGAGTGCCTCCTCTAGTGGCGTGAACAGCCCTCCCGCCACTGCTGCCGGTGCAAACACGAGACGGTCGCAGAAGAGGGATCGCTCGCAGAGGCGGAGAGCGGAAGGGTGTTGTTGCAAGCCACGACCGTACTGGGAAGCACGGGAGATGAAGACCAGGCTCTGAAAGGTGTAGGCAAACCTGGGAAGGGAAGGGGGGACAGAGGACAGGAGGGTGGGGGAGAGAGCAGAGGGGTGGTGGCGCAAGCCACGACCGTACTGGGAAGCACGAGATATGAAGACCAGGCTTTGAAAGGTGTAGGCGAATCTGGTGCGGTGGGGGGGAGCAGGGCAGCGGAAGAGGGGGGGAGGGAAAGTCAAGAAGGTAAGACACGAGGCGGTGGCAGAAGAGGGATCGCTCGCACAGGCGCAGAGCAGAGGGGTGGTGGCGGTGGGCTTGGAGGTACTGAGAGGCACAGGAGATGAAGACGAGACTCTGAAAGGTGCAGGAGATGAAGACGAGACTCTGAAAGGTGCAGGAGATGAAGACGAGACTCTGAAAGGTGCAGGAGATGAAGACGAGACTCTGAAAGGTGCAGGAGATGAAGACGAGACTCTGAAAGGTGCAGGAGATGAAGACGAGACTCTGAAAGGTGCAGGAGATGAAGACGAGACTCTGAAAGGTGCAGGAGATGAAGACGAGACTCTGAAAGGTGCAGGAGATGAAGACGAGACTCTGAAAGGTGCAGGAGATGAAGACGAGACTCTGAAAGGTGCAGGAGATGAAGACGAGACTCTGAAAGGTGCAGGAGATGAAGACGAGACTCTGAAAGGTGCAGGAGATGAAGACGAGACTCTGAAAGGTGCAGGAGATGAAGACGAGACTCTGAAAGGTGCAGGAGATGAAGACGAGACTCTGAAAGGTGCAGGAGATGAAGACGAGACTCTGAAAGGTGCAGGAGATGAAGACGAGACTCTGAAAGGTGCAGGAGATGAAGACGAGACTCTGAAAGGTGCAGGAGATGAAGACGAGACTCTGAAAGGTGCAGGAGATGAAGACGAGACTCTGAAAGGTGCAGGAGATGAAGACGAGACTCTGAAAGGTGCAGGAGATGAAGACGAGACTCCGAAAGGTGCAGGCGATGAAGACGAGACTCTGAAAGGTGCAGGAGATGAAGACGAGACTCTGAAAGGTGCAGGAGATGAAGACGAGACTCTGAAAGGTGCAGGAGATGAAGACGAGACTCTGAAAGGTGCAGGAGATGAAGACGAGACTCTGAAAGGTGCAGGAGATGAAGACGAGACTCCGAAAGGTGCAGAAGATGAAGACGAGACTCTGAAAGGTGCAGGAGATGAAGACGAGACTCTGAAAGGTGCAGGAGATGAAGACGAGACTCTGAAAGGTGCAGGAGATGAAGACGAGACTCTGAAAGGTGCAGGAGATGAAGACGAGACTCTGAAAGGTGCAGGAGATGAAGACGAGACTCTGAAAGGTGCAGGAGATGAAGACGAGACTCTGAAAGGTGCAGGAGATGAAGACGAGACTCTGAAAGGTGCAGGAGATGAAGACGAGACTCTGAAAGGTGCAGGAGATGAAGACGAGACTCTGAAAGGTGCAGGAGATGAAGACGAGACTCTGAAAGGTGCAGGAGATGAAGACGAGACTCTGAAAGGTGCAGGAGATGAAGACGAGACTCTGAAAGGTGCAGGAGATGAAGACGAGACTCTGAAAGGTGCAGGAGATGAAGACGAGACTCTGAAAGGTGCAGGAGATGAAGACGAGACTCTGAAAGGTGCAGGAGATGAAGACGAGACTCTGAAAGGTGCAGGAGATGAAGACGAGACTCTGAAAGGTGCAGGAGATGAAGACGAGACTCTGAAAGGTGCAGGAGATGAAGACGAGACTCTGAAAGGTGCAGGAGATGAAGACGAGACTCTGAAAGGTGCAGGAGATGAAGACGAGACTCTGAAAGGTGCAGGAGATGAAGACGAGACTCTGAAAGGTGCAGGAGATGAAGACGAGACTCTGAAAGGTGCAGGAGATGAAGACGAGACTCTGAAAGGTGCAGGAGATGAAGACGAGACTCTGAAAGGTGCAGGAGATGAAGACGAGACTCTGAAAGGTGCAGGAGATGAAGACGAGACTCTGAAAGGTGCAGGAGATGAAGACGAGACTCTGAAAGGTGCAGGAGATGAAGACGAGACTCTGAAAGGTGCAGGAGATGAAGACGAGACTCTGAAAGGTGCAGGAGATGAAGACGAGACTCTGAAAGGTGCAGGAGATGAAGACGAGACTCTGAAAGGTGCAGGAGATGAAGACGAGACTCTGAAAGGTGCAGGAGATGAAGACGAGACTCTGAAAGGTGCAGGAGATGAAGACGAGACTCTGAAAGGTGCAGGAGATGAAGACGAGACTCTGAAAGGTGCAGGAGATGAAGACGAGACTCTGAAAGGTGCAGGAGATGAAGACGAGACTCTGAAAGGTGCAGGAGATGAAGACGAGACTCTGAAAGGTGCAGGAGATGAAGACGAGACTCTGAAAGGTGCAGGAGATGAAGACGAGACTCCGAAAGGTGCAGGCGATGAAGACGAGACTCTGAAAGGTGCAGGAGATGAAGACGAGACTCTGAAAGGTGCAGGAGATGAAGACGAGACTCTGAAAGGTGCAGGAGATGAAGACGAGACTCTGAAAGGTGCAGGAGATGAAGACGAGACTCTGAAAGGTGCAGGAGATGAAGACGAGACTCCGAAAGGTGCAGAAGATGAAGACGAGACTCTGAAAGGTGCAGGAGATGAAGACGAGACTCTGAAAGGTGCAGGAGATGAAGACGAGACTCTGAAAGGTGCAGGAGATGAAGACGAGACTCTGAAAGGTGCAGGAGATGAAGACGAGACTCTGAAAGGTGCAGGAGATGAAGACGAGACTCTGAAAGGTGCAGGAGATGAAGACGAGACTCTGAAAGGTGCAGGAGATGAAGACGAGACTCTGAAAGGTGCAGGAGATGAAGACGAGACTCTGAAAGGTGCAGGAGATGAAGACGAGACTCTGAAAGGTGCAGGAGATGAAGACGAGACTCTGAAAGGTGCAGGAGATGAAGACGAGACTCTGAAAGGTGCAGGAGATGAAGACGAGACTCTGAAAGGTGCAGGAGATGAAGACGAGACTCTGAAAGGTGCAGGAGATGAAGACGAGACTCTGAAAGGTGCAGGAGATGAAGACGAGACTCTGAAAGGTGCAGGAGATGAAGACGAGACTCTGAAAGGTGCAGGAGATGAAGACGAGACTCTGAAAGGTGCAGGAGATGAAGACGAGACTCTGAAAGGTGCAGGAGATGAAGACGAGACTCTGAAAGGTGCAGGAGATGAAGACGAGACTCTGAAAGGTGCAGGAGATGAAGACGAGACTCTGAAAGGTGCAGGAGATGAAGACGAGACTCTGAAAGGTGCAGGAGATGAAGACGAGACTCTGAAAGGTGCAGGAGATGAAGACGAGACTCTGAAAGGTGCAGGAGATGAAGACGAGACTCTGAAAGGTGCAGGAGATGAAGACGAGACTCTGAAAGGTGCAGGAGATGAAGACGAGACTCTGAAAGGTGCAGGAGATGAAGACGAGACTCCGAAAGGTGCAGGCGATGAAGACGAGACTCTGAAAGGTGCAGGAGATGAAGACGAGACTCTGAAAGGTGCAGGAGATGAAGACGAGACTCTGAAAGGTGCAGGAGATGAAGACGAGACTCTGAAAGGTGCAGGCGATGAAGACGAGACTCCGAAAGGTGCAGGCGATGAAGACGAGACTCCGAAAGGTGCAGGCGATGAAGACGAGACTCCGAAAGGTGCAGGCGATGAAGACGAGACTCTGAAAGGTGCAGGAGATGAAGACGAGACTCTGAAAGGTGCAGGAGATGAAGACGAGACTCTGAAAGGTGCAGGAGATGAAGACGAGACTCTGAAAGGTGCAGGCGATGAAGACGAGACTCCGAAAGGTGCAGGCGATGAAGACGAGACTCCGAAAGGTGCAGGCGATGAAGACGAGACTCCGAAAGGTGCAGGCGATGAAGACGAGACTCCGAAAGGTGCAGGCGATGAAGACGAGACTCCGAAAGGTGCAGGCGATGAAGACGAGACTCTGAAAGGTGCAGGAGATGAAGACGAGACTCTGAAAGGTGCAGGAGATGAAGACGAGACTCTGAAAGGTGCAGGAGATGAAGACGAGACTCTGAAAGGTGCAGGAGATGAAGACGAGACTCTGAAAGGTGCAGGCGATAAAGACGAGACTCTGAAAGGTGCAGGAGATGAAGACGAGACTCTGAAAGGTGCAGGCGAACCTGGGGTAGAGGGGGGAGGGAAAGCATGGGGGAAGGGGAAGCACAGGGAGAGGCACAGGAGATGAAGACGAGACTCTGAAAGGTGCAGGAGATGAAGACGAGACTCTGAAAGGTGCAGGAGATGAAGACGAGACTCTGAAAGGTGCAGGAGATGAAGACGAGACTCTGAAAGGTGCAGGAGATGAAGACGAGACTCTGAAAGGTGCAGGAGATGAAGACGAGACTCCGAAAGGTGCAGGCGAACCTGGGGTAGAGGGGGGAGGGAAAGCATGGGGGAAGGGGAAGCACAGGGAGAGGCACAGGAGATGAAGACGAGACTCCGAAAGGTGCAGGCGAACCTGGGGTAGAGGGAGGAGGGAAAGCATGGGGGAAGGGGAAGCACAGGGAGAGGCACAGGAGATGAAGACGAGACTCCGAAAGGTGCAGGCGAACCTGGGGTAGAGGGGGGAGGGAAAGCATGGGGGAAGGGGAAGCACAGGGAGAGGCACAGGAGATGAAGACGAGACTCCGAAAGGTGCAGGCGAACCTGGGGTAGAGGGGGGAGGGAAAGCATGGGGGAAGGGGAAGCACAGGGAGAGGCACCAGGAGATCTCATCTCTTGTACTCCTTGCAGCAATCTCACTCCCTCCCCTTCTCCCCCACTCCCCCCATCACTCCCACCTCTTGGGGTTCTTGTAAAACACGACCAGAGAGAGTGTTCGCCCCTCTGCACCACTTCCCACCTTTTATAATCCCTGTAGCATTCACTCTTCCATCCCCACCACCCCACTCTCCCCCTCCCCTACTCTCCCGCACCTCTTGGGATCTTTGTAAAATGCGTCCAATGCGTTCGCCCCGCTCCCCCGCACGTTGCACCACTCACGGAGCGGCTCGGGCACCAGCGCCACGTCAGCACCGCCAGTGACAGCTGTCCGCAGTGCCACGTCACTGCAGGGAGGGGAGGGGAGGGGACGGAGGAGGGGAGGGGGGAAGAGGAGTTGGAGGGGAGGAGAGGGGAGGGGAGGGAAGTGGGGAGGGGGAGGGCGGCGGGGGAAAGTTGGGAAGGGGGAAAGTGAGGTGCTGTTGGGAAAGTGAGGAGGTGGGGATGAGAGGAGAGAAAATTGAGAGACCTGAAAAAAACGAGAATCGAAGCCTGAATGGGGAGAGAGAAGCGGCGGGGTGGAGGAAGGGGGGTGTGGCTAAGCGGTAAGAGGGCGACGCGTCACACCTGTTCAACCTCTCGCCCAGAGCACTCAGGACCGTTGATTTCCCCACGCCGATGTTTCCCTCCACTGCCACCGTCCATCCGCGCGCCCTCTCCGCCGATGCTGCCCTCCCCGACCCGCCCACCGTCCATCCGCGCGCCTTCTCCGCCCCGCTACGACCGTGAGACTCGGGCCCTCGAGACGCCTCAATACAAGACGGTTCGCTATAAGACGCCCCGCGCGCAGCCCCGCTCGCCGCAGCAGCGCCATCCGTCGCGCATTCGGCGGCAATTGCGCCGCCCGCACGATCCGACTCGCGAGTCGCGTCGAGCGCCACCTGGCATGCTGCGGCATCGCCACGTGCCCCGGAATTCGCGCCAGCTGCACTGACCAATCGGCGTGGAGCCTCGAGTGGGGATGGGCGCGCGGCAATCGCGGGCGATGCGAGGACGCGCAGAAGAGACGCGAGCGGGCGGTGCGGGCGCATGTGGAGAAACGCGGCGCGGAGAGAAGGAGATTAACTTTTTAAAGTGGAGAGGCAGAGGGGCTATGAAATTTGAGAGGCGCGAAATGCGAAAAGTGGAGCTAGTCAGGAATTTTGAGTTATGGGTGTCACATTCAATTGAGGGTGGGAGGGCCGATACGCGCTAATGCATTCCAAGCCATTCCGAGTCGTTGATTCATACGCCTTATTATGTAAGACGAAGTCACAGCAACCAGCTCTCTCTCTATATCTGAACTTACAATTAAGTTATGGTATATCAGTTGCCTCACAAATGCTACCACATTAGAAACGTTTTTCTGCCACATCCTTCCGGATTGGAAACAAATTTCCATAAACCACCATTTTTGGCCGTCGGCTCAGAAAGAATATACCAGACAGATACCTTGATAAAGTGCGTTCCAAATTTAATAGCTTGTCCACACAACAGTGGCGATTCTGCCTCAGGGGGGTAATGGTGTAGCAGTGGTGACGAGCAGTTTACTGTCCCACACTCCCTCCCTCACTCCCTCTCACTCCCTCTCGCTCTCTGAAAGTGCATCTGGGCGGCTAAGCCTCAGCCTGAGCGTTTCGGTGTGCAGAGAAAGCTGTGTGGCAGCGTCCCCTCCCCTTCCTCCCAGCCTCTGGCACCTCAGCACTACCTGTTCCTCACTCCCTCCCTCACTCCCTCTCGCTCTCTGAAAGTGCATCTGGGCGGCTAAGCCTCAGCCTGAGCGTTTCGGTGTGCAGAGAAAGCTGTGTGGCGGCGTCCCCTCCCCCACTTATGCCTAGAGCCTGCCTCCGCAGCTCTGCCTGCGCCTCGCTTCTTCCCTCACTCGCTCTCCAGCCCCCTCCCTCACTCCCTCTCGCTCTCTGACAGTGCATCTGGGCGGCTAAGCCTCAGCCTGAGCGTTTCAGTGTGCAAAGAAAGCTTTGAGGCAGCGTCCCCTTCCCCTCTTCCCAGCCCCTGGCACCTCAGCACTACCTGTTCCTCACTCCCTCCCTTGCTCCCTCACTCCCTCTCGCTCTCTGACAGAGCATCTGGGCGGCTAAGCCTCAGTCTGAGTGTTTCAGTGTGCAGAGAAAGCTGAGTAGTGTCCCCTCCCCCACTTATGCCCAGAGCCTGCCTCCTCAGCTCTGCCTGCGCCTCACTTCTCTCCCTCTTCCTCCTCTGCCTCCTCCTCTCCACCTGTCCAAGAAGCAACGGCACAGGTGGTGGGGATGCAGCATGGCAGTAATGGAAACAACACAGTGAAGTGAACTTAAGGGAGGCAGCGAAACCCGAGGGAGCAGGAAAGACAGAGAGAGCATGCTTTGCTACAGCCGCCCTTACAGGAGCCCCTACGCCCTCAAACTCCCTCCCACTCCCTCACATCCCTTCACACCCCCTCACAGCCCTTCACAACCCCCTCCAGCTCCACAAGCCCAAGGCCATTCCCAAGGCCCCCAGCAGCCGTCACCTCAACCCTCACCACTCAACTGAGCCCTCACCTGCTTCTCCTTCTCCTCCCACCGATCGTACTGCTCCTGAGCCATAGCAACACCTTCAAACTCCCTCACACCCCCTCCTCCTCCTTGCACGCCCCCCCCACCTTCCCCCTGCAGCCCCACAAGACCATCAGAACTGGAGCTGTAATCTGATTCTTCCTCCTCCTCATCGTCAGTCCGCCATACCACCGCCTCCTCCCTCCACGCCGCCGCACGCACCAAGCTGCTGCCGTTGCTGCTGCTCCCAGGGGAATCACTCCCTCCCCCAGTGCCTCCAGATGTGATCACGACGCTGCTGCTGCTGCTGCTGCTGCTAATCATGCTGCTGCTGATAGTGCTACTGCTGAAACCAGCACCTGACACAACCTGCTCCGTGCTTGGTCCCTCATCCCCACCTGCTGCTGCTGCCTGCTGTTGCTGCAGCTCGCGGTGATGGTGGTCCCTGGACTGCCCTCTCCTCCTCCCTTCTCCTTCCTCTCCATCCTCATCCTCATCCTCCTCCTCCTCCCCCCCACACACATCACTTCCCACACTATCAAACGTGCCGCCCTCTCCACTTCTCACGCCCCTCCCTTCAGTCTCCTTCCCGCTCCCACTCTCACTCCCACTCTCCCCAACACTGTCTCTCTCCACCATATCAGAGTCTGTATACACACCCTCAGAATACATCCCTTCCTCCCCATCTCCACTTGTCAACCACCCTCCACCCACCAGCACCTCCCCCTCCTCCCCCTCACTCTCACTATCTAGCAACACCCCCCTCCCCCCCACTCTCCCCCTCCCCAGCTTCATCTGCTCACAAGTCTCGCACTTACTCTCCCCCTCGCCCTTCCCTTCCCCCTCCACTCTCCCCACTTCCCCCAACCCTCTCGACCTCACCTCCTGGCTAATCCTCTCCTTCCTCCTCCCCTCCCTCCTCTTCTCACTCTCCCACTCCTCTACCAAAGCTCTCTCCCTGTCCTTCTCTCTCTTCCTCTCTGTCTCCTTCTCTATATCCTCCTCTTCCTTCCCCGCCCCAAGCCTTCCCTTCACGCCGCCCCCACTGGCCCCTTCCGTCTCTTTCAGCTCCTCGAAGCGCACTGCCACCACCTTCCTCGCATTACCAGACAAAATCTGCCGCCCAGGCGAGAGGCAGAGGGGAAGGAGGACGGGAAGAGTGAAGGTACCTTCTGAGATATATATCGATATTAGAAGCTGGAAAGGACGCCTTACAAGGTGACTCGGAACAATGCAGAATGAGAAGCGTGATCATGAATGTGCCAACCGAAGACAGCTACTGCACCCCCCACTAGCATTACCCCAGAGGACACACCAACCAAGTCAACACCCCAAGGCCATGGCTACTGAGACCTCCAAGTTACCTCGAGTTGGAAACGAAGCAGCTGCTTTCGCGGTCCTTTGTCTCCCCCGTCCCTCTCCCGCCCCTTCCCACCCGCTCCTCCCTCCTCCGCTCCCTCGCCCTCCTCCTCCTCCTCGCTCTCTTTCCGTTGCAGCCGAATGATCTTAGTATCACCAGTGCGGGGGATGTATCCAAACGCCTCACACACGAAACCAGATACTGTCTCGTAGAAAGAAGCTCTCTGGAAAAGAACGACGGGGATGGGAGAAGGGGGAGCAGAAGGGGAGACGGAAGGGAGAAATTGGCGTGAGAGACATCCGTTAGTGTCGTACGAGGAACAAAGCATGTGTAATGGGCGGCAGTACAAACACGACTTACGGGCGGCACAAGTGTGACTTACAGGTGACAGCACAAGCAAGACTCACAGGGGGCAGCACGACTAGGAAGATATCAGCCAGATCATCAACGGTGGTGTTGGCATCCACGTCATACACGCCCTCCGCCCTCCTCTCATTCACACGCGTTGACAGTGACTCATGGGAGTCACTCACAAGCAGCAGCAGCAGCAGCAACAGCACACTCACAGGGGGCAGCACGACTTGGAGAATGTCAGCCAGATCATCAACGGTGGTGTTGGCATCCACATCATACACGCCCTCCGCCCTCTGAATGATGTACCCCGTCTTGCGCCGAATCTCCTCCTGCAAACGAAAACGCACAAGCACACGCACATGCGCAGGCGCAGAGGTAGAGGTGGGATCACAGAGCAAGAGTTAGAGCGAGCGTGCACGGCGATGGACCAGGCGGAAAGAGGGAGGAGCCTAGCAGCACACGCACAGACAGAGGCAGAGGTAGAGGTGGAATGCACACGCACAAGCACACGCACAGGCAGGGGCAGAGGCGGAATGACAGAGCAAGAGTTACAGCGAGCTTGCACGGCAATGGACCAGGCGGGAAGAGAGAGGAGACTAGCCCGAACCCTACACTACACCATCCCCAGAGTTACTCGATTTGTCTGGCTTTTTCAGCCTCGGGTCGTCTTCATTTTCCCACTCACAGCCCCCACCATCCTATCTCCCCAAATGGTACCTTGGAGTCGTTCTCGTCGAATATCTCCCCCACGATCTCCTCCAGTGCATCTTCCAGCGTCACCAGCTGATGGGAGGCATGACCTTGCCAATACCACAGAAATACCACAGACAGAAGCCATTCCCTTCACCCCAAACGGTACCTTGGAGTCATTCTCGTCGAATATCTCCCCCACGATCTCTTCTACAGCATCTAAAGGTCGTCTTCATTCCCTCACAGTCGTTATACCTTACAGTCCCCACCACTATCCCATCTCCCCAAAGGTACCTTGGAGTCATTCTCGTCGAATATCTCCCCCACGATCTCTTCCACAGCATCTAAAGGTCGTCTTCATTCCCTCACAGTCGTTATACCTTACAGTCCCCACCACTATCCCATCTCCCCAAAGGTACCTTGGAGTCATTCTCGTCGAATATCTCCCCCACGATCTCTTCCACAGCATCTTCCAGCGTCACCAGCTGATGGGAGAAGGATGGGGCATGCAACGTGGGAGAGTATGGTAAAGTTTTAGGGCAATCATCACAGCAACATAAGCACGCGCATGTGAAAGTTGATGTGCACTTTCCACATGTGAGTGAGAGAATAGAGATTTGTGGAGGGGAGAAAAGGACAAGCAGAAGAGAGGGGGAGCAGCATGATGGCCATGTGCACTTTGGGGGGAGTAAGGGGGAGGCCAGTGTGGTGTTGATGTGCACTTGACACGAATGAGTGGGAGAGGGACAAATAGATGGAACAACGACTCACTCCCACGGTGCCGCCGTATTCGTTCAGCACGATGGCCATGTGCACTTTGTGGAAGTGAGTGGGGGGGACAAAGGCGAAGGAGAGCCGACCAGAGGAAGAGCGGCATAGGAGGGCCACAAGGGAGAGAGGGGGAGACTGGCTACTCACCCCCACGGTGCCGCCATACTCGTTGAGCACGATGGCCATGTGCACCTTGCGGATGCGGAACTAGAGAGGGCGAGAATGAACGGAGAGAGCACGACAGAGGGACAACTACTCACTCCCACTTTCCCCCACGGTGCCGCCATACTCGTTGAGCACGATGGCCATTTGCACCTTGCAGTCAACGTACACGTGACTCCAGTGAGCAGGAGAGTGAGAGGGAAAGGGAGAGGAGAGCGGTTACTCACCCCCACAGTGCCGCCATACTCGTTCAGTACGATGGCCATGTGCACCTTGCGGATGCGGAACTCTCTCAGAAGGTTCCACACGGACATGGAGTCTGCAGCTCATGTGGAAACAGGTGGTGGAGGGGCGGGAAAGGAAAAGGGACAAAGGGCAGGAAAGGAAAAGGGACAAAGGGCGGGATGGGGGGGGATTGGGGGCAGGGGAGAGTAAAGGTCGGGGTTGGGGATGGGGGAGGGGGAGAAGAGGGAGAAAAGGGGGAGAGAAAGTTTTGAGATTGGAGGACAGCACAGAGAGGGCGGTGCAAGGTAGGTGACGTGATGGGAAAGCCGATAAGGGTGCAGAACAGGGGAGAAGAGGCAAAGACAAAGAGGCATAGGGGTGAGGTTTCTCACCAGGGACGAAGTATGCCGGCCGATGCGCGATCCTGCCCACACTCAAGCGATGCAGCAGTTCCGGCTGACATGAGGGGACAGTGCGAGGGAGAGGGGTGGCAAAGGCGGGATGGGGCGGGATAGTGGAAAGAGGGGAAGGGGAGGGGAGGAGAGGATAAGGAGTGGAGCGCGAATTTGGTGTGGACAACAGCAGCGGAGAGAGAAGGTGATGTGTGGGAAAAGGATGAACGATGGCAGTGCCACACTCACACAGACCCCCACCTGCCCCACACACAGACCCCCACCTGCCCCACACACAGACCCCCACCTGCCCCACACACAGACCCCCACCTGCCCCACACACAGACCCCCACCTGCCCCACACACAGACCCCCACCTGCCCCACACACAGACCCCCACCTGCCCCACACACAGACCCCCACCTGCCCCACACACAGACCCCCACCTGCCCCACACACAGACCCCCACCTGCCCCACACACAGACCCCCACCTGCCCCACACACAGACCCCCACCTGCCCCACACACAGACCCCCACCTGCCCCACACACAGACCCCCACCTGCCCCACACACAGACCCCCACCTGCCCCACACACAGACCCCCACCTGCCCCACACACAGACCCCCACCTGCCCCACACACAGACCCCCACCTGCCCCACACACAGACCCCCACCTGCCCCACACACAGACCCCCACCTGCCCCACACACAGACCCCCACCTGCCCCACACACAGACCCCCACCTGCCCCACACACAGACCCCCACCTGCCCCACACACAGACCCCCACCTGCCCCACACACAGACCCCCACCTGCCCCACACACAGACCCCCACCTGCCCCACACACAGACCCCCACCTGCCCCACACACAGACCCCCACCTGCCCCACACACAGACCCCCACCTGCCCCACACACAGACCCCCACCTGCCCCACACACAGACCCCCACCTGCCCCACACACAGACCCCCACCTGCCCCACACACAGACCCCCACCTGCCCCACACACAGACCCCCACCTGCCCCACACACAGACCCCCACCTGCCCCACACACAGACCCCCACCTGCCCCACACACAGACCCCCACCTGCCCCACACACAGACCCCCACCTGCCCCACACACAGACCCCCACCTGCCCCACACACAGACCCCCACCTGCCCCACACACAGACCCCCACCTGCCCCACACACAGACCCCCACCTGCCCCACACACAGACCCCCACCTGCCCCACACACAGACCCCCACCTGCCCCACACACAGACCCCCACCTGCCCCACACACAGACCCCCACCTGCCCCACACACAGATAGCCACCTGCCCCACAAACAGATACCACCTTCCTCACACACATCCCACCCACCTGCCCCACGTAGTCGAGCATGTCCATGGCATGCGCGATGCCCACAACATTGTCACACAGATGCCACAGATACCACCTTCCCTGCCCCACACAGATACCACCTTCCCCAGCCCCACCTGCTCCACGTAGTCAAGCATGTCCATGGCATACGCGATGCCCACAATGTTGTCCACCCTCCTCTCGTAGACGGGCACGCGCGAGTACTGGTGGCGCACCCACAGCGCTCGCAGCTCCATGAGCGACGCAGAGGAGCTCACAGCCACCACGTCTACGAGGGGAGTCATGACTTCGCGCACATATGTGTCCTTGATCTCCAGCACGTTCTCTATCATGTCCTGTGAAGGATGGGGGGAGTGGGAGGTGGGGAATGGGAGGTGGGGGAATGGGAGGTGGGGGGGAGGGAAAGAGGAGTTAGGAAGTGGGGGGAGTGAGTACTGGTGGCGCACCCACAGCGCTCGCAGCTCCATGAGGGACGCAGAGGAGCTCACAGCCACCACGTCTACGAGAGGAGTCATCACCTCATGGACGTATGCTCTTTGATCTCCAGCACGTTCTCGATCATGTCCTGTTGAGGGTGATGGGGGAATGACAGTAGTAGCAGGGAGTTGAGGGGAAAGAGTGAGTACTGGTGGCGCACCCACAGCGCTCGCAGCTCCATGAGGGACGCAGAGGAGCTGACTGCCACCACATCAACGAGGGGAGTCATGACTTCACGGACATATGTGCCCTTGATCTCCAACACGTTCTCTATCATGTCCTGTGCGGGCGAGGGGGGATGGGATGCGGGGAATGGGCAGTGGGGAAATGGGGGTTGGGAGGTGAAGGAGTGAGTACTAGTGGCGCACCCACCCACAGCGCCCGCAGGTCCATGAGGGACGCAGAGGAGCTGACCGCCACCACGTCTACGAGGGGGGTCATGAATTCACGCACGTACGTATCCTTGATCTCCAGCACGTTCTCTATCATATCCTGTTGAGAGGAAGGGGCGAGGGAGATTGGCAGGGAGTGGGGCAAGGGAGGGGGTGAGTACTGCTACTAGTGGCGCACCCACAGCGCCCGCAGCTCCATGAGGGAGGCAGAGGAGCTGACCGCCACCACGTCCACCAGAGGGGTCATGACTTCACGCACGTACGTGTCTTTGATTTCCAGCACATTTTCAATCATGTCCTGCCAGGGAGAGCAGTATGGAAGTAGGGGAGAGGAGGAGGGGAGTGAGTACTGGTGGCGCACCCACAGCGCACGCAGCTCCATGAGCGACGCGGACGAACTGACCGCCACCACGTCAACCACATTAGTTATCACCTCGTGCATGCACGTGCCTTTAATCTCCTCGAAATCGTTCATGCCTACTACAGCGCTCCCCTTTACTCCCCCCTCACCTGCTCCTCCTCCTCAATAGCGCCACTCATCTCCGCCCCCCTCAGCATGAGCTTCAGCTCTTCTCCCCATTCCGCCTATTCTGCCAACCATATCCTGCCATGCCTATTGCAACACACCCCCTTCCCCCCCTCACCTGCTCCTCCTCCTCAATAGCGCCACTCATCTCCGCCCCCCTCAGCATAAGCTTATTACGCTTCTCACTATTTCGCCTATTCTGCCACCCTTATTCTGCTGCTATGCCTAGTCCAACACACCCCCTTCGCCCCCCTCACCTGCTCCTCCTCCTCAATGGCGCCACTCATCTCCGCCCCCCTCAGCATTCGCTCATGGCGCTTCTCCCTATTCCGTGTAATCCACCACGCTTCCTTATTCCAGCACACATATTCCAACACACCCCCTCTCCCCTGCTGATCTGCTCCTCCTCCCCAATAGCGCCACTCATCTCCGCCCCCCTTCAGAATGAGCTTATGGCGCTTCTCCCTAAACCGCCCAATCCCCCACACTTGTTCCCCAACCCTTGTCCCCTGCACAGTTCCGCCACTCGTGTTCCAACACTCCTCCCTCTCCCCCCCTCACCTGCTCCTCCTCCTCAATGGCGCCGCTCATCTCCGCCCCCCCAGCATGAGCTTCAGCTCCTTTCCCTATTCCGCCTATTTTGCCACCCATATCCTGCCATGCTTATTGCAACACACCCCCTTCCCCCCCCTCACCTGCTCCTCCTCCTCAATAGCGCCACTCATCTCCGCCCCCCTCAACATGAGCTTCAGCTCCTCCTCTGTCACAAACGGCTCCCTGACAAAGGGTGGTAATACAAGACACACAGGGGGGACACGGACACACAAAGGCGCACAGGCAAGCAGTGAGTGGTGAGTGGGGCGTTGCCTCACAAGCTGGATCGCTCACAGCAGCTTCGGCATTCCTCAGACAAAAAAACGAACTTCTAGGTTGCTGCAAAAATCGCTGGGATGAGGAGAGGACTGACCCGCTGGTCTTGAGGCCGAGGAGACGGAAGAGGCCTGTGGAGGCATAGGTGCAGAGGCGACCCACGGGGTAGAGCACGACTGACAGCCACGCCACTGGACGCAGCTGGTGAGAGGGAGGGAGGAGGGAGGGAAGGGTCAAGAGAGATTGGCGGATGGGGGTCTGATGCGAGTCGAGGGAGGGGGGCAGACGGGTCAAGGGAGATTGGCAGCATGCATCAATTGCATCGCAAACAGCACGTTGCCAGCGCAAGGAAAGCTTTGGCAGATGGACAGGAGTGAAACGAGATGAGGCAACGGCGGCACTTTTGAGAATTCTCAAGGGATGAGGCAAGGTAGGTGAGGGAGAGGAAGATCGACGGGCTGGAGGGACAAAGGGCGAGGGGAGGAAGCGGACAAAGGGGAGAGGAGGGAGATGGGTGGGGGTTGGTTGGGGTAGGGTGGGGGTTGGGAACGGGTGGGGGAACTGGGAGACCAATGAAGGGGAGCTGGGAGAGAGTACACACCACGACACGGACGACTTGGGTGGCATTATGCACGGCGATGGACTTGGGGGCGATCTCTGTGAAGACTAGCAAAAGGATCTGATGGGTGTTGGGACACAGAGGGCACGGGGGGGGCGTAAGGGTGGATGGGTGCATGACCAGAGCCGTCGCCCAAAAGTGACTCTTGAGTCAACTCAAAGACGCCTGTAGCAGCAGCACAGCACGTACCGTCATCACGCCTGTAGCAGCACTAACTCCTGCCTCCCCAAAGAGCGCTGTAGCGGCATCCGTGACCAGAGCCGTCGCCCAGATGTTCACCAGCCTGGTGGCGTGGCGAGGGGATGGGGAGCAAGTAACGGGCAGAAGGGAGATGAGGAAACGAGATTGCGAAGGGGCGAAATGGGAATAGCGTCCGTGACCAAAGCCGTCGCCCAGATGTTCAGCAGGCTGGCGGCGTGGCAAAGGGAAGAGAACGAAGAGGAGGGAGGATAGAGGCAAGAGGGGAACGAGATTGTGACGGGAAGGAAGGGGGAGAAGGGAAAGTGAAGAACATGTTTAAGTTCATTATCGCAATACATTATAAGCGCGAAAGGGCGAAATTGGAGACGGGGACTTTGGAAGCGTCTGGGACTAGAGCTGTGACCTAGATAACTTTCGAGACGTCTCAAAAGTCGTCTGGGACCAGAGCAGTGACCCGGAAGTTGAGCAGAGAGGCGTGTGAGTGACCACGAGTGGTGAGGGAGGAAAAAGAGCGGTGTGTGTGGGAAATGTGAGGGCGTTACGTGGTGCGAATGAGGACTGTGATGAGGAAGGAAGATGAGAGTCATGCGTGGGGAATGGAGGAAGCTGCGATTGGCCAGGAAAGCAGTGAGCAAGAGAGCGAGGGCGTTACGTGGTGCCGATGAGGATGGTGGTGAGGAAGCGAGTCACGTCCCGCCGCAGCAGCTGAAACACGCTTCCCTCCTTCTCCTTTTCCGCCAGCTCACGCACCTGAAGAGAAATGGGAGCGGAGGGGAGGGAGTGTGGATCAGGCAAACTGGTGGCGCGGAGGGAGGGAATGTGGGTCACGCACAGAGCTGCATGATCTGAGCGGCATGATCTGAGTGCTACCACCTTTCACGGCCAGAGCGTGGTGATGGACATTTCTTCCATGAAGTGGAAAGCGGAGAGCCCTACAAGCACAATAATCAACTCCTTATTACCGTACCCCACCCTTCAAATCCCAGCTCCCACCTTCCAGGGCCAGAGCGTGGTGATAGACGTTTCCGCCATCGAGAAAAAGGCTGAGAGGCTCAGCAGCACCGCCAGCAGCACGCCTTGCTCCCGAAGCACCTTGAGAAGCTGTATCATCGACGGCTTCGCCCCCACGCTCCATACCCGAGCCCGCTGCGTCAGGTCCGAGACCAGAGCGCCTGCCGAGGCTGGGAGGATCGGCGATGCCGAGGCTGATTCCGCTGCTAGAACTGGTCGGCAGGCTAGAACGGCTGTCAGGCACACCGCAGCGGAAACGACAAGGATAGCCACTCGCCTTGCTATAATACCCCATGCAACGGTCCCGTTTGGTGCTTCTACAGGCGTCGCCTCTTCGTTCAGACTACCCCTAAATGTAGTGCCATCGCTGATGCTGCTATTATCGCTACTGTTGTTATCCCTTACAGTCGTTCCATCATCGTCACCTGACGTCGTTTCTCCTAGTGCTGAGTTTATGCATGACGTTGCATGACCCCCGATTCTTGCGTACGAATTTGAAACTTGGATCAAACGCCACCGTCGATTCTCAAGATTCGTTGCAGCGCTTCGGAGCATGCCTCTGTCTTTCTGTGGATGCTGGAGTCCTCTCCCAATGACACGTGTCAACGGTGAAAAAGCCCCGCCGCTGCATTGTCGACTTCTGCAAATCGGACGGTACGATCTGGCGGATCGAGAGAATTGCGTTGACTCAGTTGTTTGTTTAGCGATCGTGCTCGATGCGAGGCCACCTGGGATGCGATTGCAAGTAGTGCTTATCTGCTTTGGATACCTTCCGGTTGACGAAGGGGACGCAGACGGCACTACTCGGCAAGGTCCTTTGCAGCTTGGCCGAAGGAGCATTGTGGCGATGCGCGAAACCACTAGTGGTTACAATACTATATCGCGGCTGCTGTAATCATCAAACGTGTTCGCTAATCTTCGTCATATCAGCAATTGGCTGAACGTCGCAGTGAGAAAAAGGGATCCACGCGATGCTTCTATACCCGGAAATCACACGAATAAACGCATGGCCTAGTCTCTCGCATGCATGCCTTGTCAACCAGACATGGATCGATTGCAACAACTACGCGAGAAGACTAGAACCACAATAGCTTCACAGCAGACGATCAGAATCTTCAAGATCAAAGCGGAGGCTTCACGAGGAGCTATGGCCTGACGTGAGCAGCGATCAGGCCAAGATGCCTACGGAACATACACGAAAAAGCACAAAAATAAAGAGCAAAAGAGCTTTGGGAATGGCGGGAGAGGGGTGAGTACAAAAAGAGCAGAGGGAAGATAGAGAAAGGTGACAACATCGAGGGAAGGTGGGCCAAGTTAGGCGGCGGTAACGAAGGCGCGTGCTGTGGTGTGCCTAAGGGGTAGATGACACGACGCGGTCGTTGATTGGCTGTACGGTGATGGTGCAGGAAACCGCTTGCTGACGTGTCTTGCAGATCCCAAGGCGAGGAGCTTTGCGCTTTTCACCGTCAGCGGGTTCACAAAACGGAGGGAATCTTTGCGGATGTGGCTGACCTCGATGTTGTCCATCTATTCATCGAACAGAAGGAAACAGCAGTACACCAAAAAGGAACCCTTATTTTCATTAACGAAGCAAGAACAATAGAAACTACCAACTCTCTCCATCATAACAAAGCTCGTCCCAACTACCAAAAGCACTCGATGATGGGCTAGTATAATGCAGAAACTCTTCCAATTCTTCGTATGACTGCTGCCCTGAGCTTCCAAGTGAATCCGTCAGTCCACAAGTCGCCAAAAAAACGTGCTGGGCACGTTCACCAACATCCACTGGCGCCTTGGAAAAATCTTGGAAGCGAGTCAAAGGTTCACATATGGGCCGCACAGCAACTTGAAGGGCTCCATGCGTATCTTCACAAATCACAAGCTTCTGCTGGCTTGTAGGCGTAAGCTGTTCGTCCACAATCGAATCAGCCTGTAGAGTGTCACTGGAGTTCTGGCATGGGAACAAAGAAGGCGCTTCAGTCTGCACTGCAGTATTCATGCAATGTTTCAAGGCGAGCAGTTGACTGGCATCAGGCCATGAATCGCTGGGCCACGTGGATACATCCCCAAGCAGATCTGCTCCTGCTTCACCAGACTCCTCCCAGTTTACCAGGTGGGATTCAGCAGCAGCAGCAGCAGCAGCAAGAGCATCAGCCGGGCTCATTTTTTTAGGAAAATCTGCGTCACCCGGGTTTCCAGAAGATTCAAAACTCTGCTGAGGGCAAGTTGTGGGATTCTGGAAGGCCGAAATCAGGGGAGCGGCTGGCAATGAGCAGTATGTGTCTTCCGAGCCTAATAGCTCCCCCTGCTGCTCATGCTGCTGCTGCTGCTGCTGCTGCTGCTGTGGCGTGCCATCAGCCGGAACAGCTTCAGATTCTTCAGCCCCCACGAGCCCTCCTTCTGCCAGTGCTGACTGCACCAGCAGCGCCAGCGCTGCAAGAACCTCATCCGGCAACAAGTGCGACTGAGGCTGCGAGGGAGCAGCAGCAGTAGCGGCCGCACGCCTTCCCGGAGGAGACACCGTACTCAGCCGCACATGAGCAGGCTCGTCAGAGGAAGCAGGAGCTGGCGTGGGAGCGGCAGCGGCCGAACGCCTTCCCGAAGGAGACACCGTACTCAGCCGCACATGAGCAGGCTCGTCAGAGGAAGCAGGAGCTGGCGTGGGAGCGGCAGCAGCCGAACGCCTTCCCGAAGGAGACACCGTACTCAGCCGCACATGAGCAGGCTCGTCAGAGGAAGCAGGAGCTGGCGTGGGAGCGGCAGCGGCCGCACGCCTTCCCGAAGGAGACACCGTACTCAGCCACACATCGTCAGACGAAGTAGGGGCAGGTGTGGGAGCGGCAGCAGGCACCGGCGACCCATTTAGAAGTGCTTCCAGTGCAGCCCGCCAATCCGCAACAGCCGAGGCGTGAGTGTGGCGGGACGAGGAGTCATTGGAGGCGGGGCGAGAGGGTGCGGGAACAGACGGAACCTCCCATGCGCCGAAGCTGACTGGGCTGGAAGCAAGGGCAGGCAGGCACGAAGGCGGGCATTGCAGCTTTCTGCCAGCAGTCCCATTTGCCGCGATTGCTTCCTCCCCAACAGCCGCTCGCTTGCTCGCCGTGCTGGTGTCGACACCATCCGTAGCAGCAGTAGCAGTGGATGCAGCAGCAGCAGCAGATTCCCTCACTCGGGCTGAGCCGTCTTTGACTGATCGACCTTCCGACGGAGGGGCAGGAGAGGTGGTAGGGGTAACAGCGGCGTGGTAGTGAGGCGGGTGGTTGTGCGTGCAGGTAGTTGAGCAGAGGAGGAACAGAGGGGTCACAGCAACTCAAGTCCACTGTGCGGCGCGCAAGGCAGGCGAGAGACTTGCGCAGACCACACTGGAAATAGAGCCTGCATGCAGCATGGGTGGGAGGGGAGGGAGTAAACAGAGCAGGAAGAGCAGGGAAGGGCGTGGTGAGAAAGAGCACGGCAGGCGTGGGACTTGCGCAGACCACACTGGAAATAGAGCCTGCATGCAGCATGGGTGGGAGGGGAGGGAGTAAACAGAGCAGGAAGAGCAGGGAAGGGCGTGGCGAGAAAGAGCACGGCAGGCGTGGGACTTGCGCAGACCACACTGGAAATAGAGCCTGCAGGCAGCATGGGTGAGAGGGAGAGTTCAGGGCAGGAAGTGGACGCATGGGAGAAAGGGAATTAGCAAAACAGAGGAAAAGCATTGCGAAACTTCCTGAAGTTGACTATTGAACTGAGAGGGGACGAGCGGCACAGTGTGATTCAAAAGACAGGCATGATATTGACCAGAAGGGCCCACATCCTATCCATCCCCATGGCTCCCCAATTCAGATCAGATCCGCACCTGATCATGTTGTCGCCCGTGGTAAGTTTCTTCTGCCCGTACTTGACCCAGCTGAACCCGTCACGCGGCAGCAGCGGCTTATACCGATACTGCAGCATGCGCACTTTCTTCCCGTCAACGTGACGGTCACGGTCGCGGCACTTCTCTCCGCCGCCGCCGCTTCCAGATCGATTCGCACGTGCCTCAGGCCGACTCTCAGGTGTCTCGGGTCGATTTTCCTGAGATCCCGAGCCTGCGTTTCTCCATGCGAGATCCATGTTCTGGTGCGAAGGTTGTTCGTGGTTTCCAGTTGCTTCAAGGCTCCCAGAATCATCAAGCTGATCAGAATCTTGATCTTGCATGTCCCGACGGCCCTTGAAGCTCGGAACTCTTTGTAGGATTTGCGGCTGAATGCAAGATGATCTGCACAGGAAGGAATCATTTGTAGTGAACATGGTACAGTGTGAGAATGACAGGTTAATTATTGAGATTCGGAGAGGAGTTACATCACAAGAATCTCGCGACACGGCCCCCACAGAATCTGCCGTACAAGCGCAAGTCTAGGACTCCTAGGGTTGCCGGACTAACTTTTGAGCGCTGCACCACTCTGCACCACTTATGAGACTCTCCTAGAGTCTCTCTCCTCCCCCTTCACACTCCCCCCATTCTCGCCCTTCCGCCACTCAGGTAAGCATCCAGTAGAGCCTACCTCTCTGCAAAAGCCATCCTAGCGTGTCCTGCGCCGCGTTTCGCGGCGCTTGCGAAACCCCCGTGCAGCAGCTCATGATCTTGATCCCGCCATCGCGGAAAAGGGAAATTGCGTTTTGGGGTGTCCGAAGGTTTTTCTGCGTGGGGCTTGCGTGATTGTTGCGACAAGTGTCCGAAAAACAAGGACCGTAAAACGCAACATTGGCGCGATCAATAACCGCACACTGGACCACAACATTACCGCCACCAAAATGTCACTTTGGGGTCACCTGCGCCATTATCCGCGCCGCCTCCACGAATGCGCCTCGAACACATGCGGCTCGAGCCAAAAACGCCACACATACTCGGTATTGTCGTGTCGCCCCTCCCCCGCTACAGGGACCACAGAAACGATAAATGCACACCTACTCCGAGCAACTGTATATACTGAACAAACCAAACTACACTGCTCTGCACACCGTCTACTTCATAATGTGTAAACCGTGTCATTCGCTTGCAACTCCAGCACTCAGCAATACAAAGTACAACATCACACAAAACCAAACCTTACTGTCAACCAGCAACCACAACTACAAAGATGAGCCCACCCTTCGAGGCATGCCCTCCAACAAACACTCCCCCCACCCACTACAGCATCAAAACCAAGCGCACTACACGGACCCACTGTCCGACGACCCTGAACTGCGCGCTCGCTTCTTCGGTGTGCGGCTTAGGCGGCTAACCACCTCTCCATCAGAGGCGCCAACGACAGTCGCCACCTCCGCAGGAGCAATCCCCAGCGCCTCCGCGTGACACACGTACGCGTTCGTCACATTGCGGATGGCACGTCGTCGGCTTCGTTCGTCACGCATCAGAGGCCCATCCGGCAGGCACATCTCGCCCTCGTCCCCTGAAGACGTCGGCGTCGTGGGCGTCACCAACTTCACACCAGCCTTCTCCATTAACCACTCATCGCATGTCACGTAATCGGACACCGGCATATAAATAGCCGGCCGCACACGGAACTCACGTAGCAGCACCAGGAGGTCCGCCGTGGTAGAGACCAGGGGATCGTACATGCCGGCCGAGTACATGCCGTGCAGGTGCCACATCAGCTCCCACCATGACTCCGGGACGCATCCCGCCCTCCACCAGCTCCTTTGCATCGTTGCCGCCGTCAGCGCCTTCCATGCCAAGCCCACCCACAGCAGCATAACACCGTAATTCACCAGGGAAAACGGCGCTTCGAAATCCTCGTGGAACAGATTGGACCGCACCGCGCGTCTCATCAGTATCACACGATACTCAGCCTTGAAAGCGTCCACCACGCCGTGCAAAAACGGCATACTGGACCAGTGCACAACGTCTGTCAGGTCCACAAAGCGTGTGTGCGTGAAATGCACCATAGTCAGCCCATGCTCCACCGTGGTCTCCGCGTCATTCGCGGTAATGCGGTGCGCCGTGTTGTAGGTGAACACAACCGTCTTCCTTCCACGGCTAAGCTGCACCCCATCAACCGTCTGAAAAAACTCGGTAAACACCTGCGCACCGCCAAGCCACGACAGCGCCAGCGCGGAATTAGGGTATCACACAGAAACACGACCGACATGCAGCCACAACATTATACACATGTGCTGGTGGGAGTCCACTCGAAATCTGCCCACATACCTCGGGTGTGAGGCGCCCACTCTTCGTGTAGCGCACAATCACCGCCGGTGCAGGATCCCCGCTGCGCCTAGGTTCGGGGCGCTCGTCATGGCGCAACACCACAAGGGGCACCGTGGTGCAGGTCCCCGTCGCATTGTACAAGAAGCCGACACTTATGATCCGGTCGCACGGGGTTCCGTTCCTCCCCGGTATCTTGGTCTTCGGCAACCGGCTGGGCATAAACGGTATCTCCACAAACAGAAACACATCGTCGGGGAGCACTTTCAGCTTCTGTACGATGTCCTTCAACGGGGGCTTCACCGAGCTCATACTGGCCACCAGCACACCCCGGACAACGTGTGGGACGCTGGAGATGAAATGGTGGACGTCCCCAAAATAATCCACCAAAAGCCCAAACCGTACTCTCCACCACCACATGTGCTGCCTTTTAGGCGCTCCACATGTGCAGCAACCACTGAATCGCTCTCCAACTGAACACTGTCCACTAAATGCCAGGTACACAATTGCGCAGTTCCCATTGGCCCAACCTGTCAACCTCTGATGTCGTACACGTCACACAAATGCGCACCTGCCAGTCACACGCACTAGAAATCCGAACATCGAACCATTAGCCCCAGGCACATATCCAATTGGATTCCGTAACAAGAGTGTCCCTGCATTACAGCCACAAAACCCAAATCCGCACACCAGTGCCCTGAACCAACAACCGTAATAACCAAATCCGTTACAAGCATTGCCTCAATCCACACACCGGCCGCCAAAATTCCAGTATGACGGTGCATTTTCAAAATCCCACATTCCCACCACACAAGCCCACCAAATCAAAGCATAAGACCTGCGTACTATTCTGTTGCGCACTCTCCTTCCCTTACCCAGGTTCCCATGCACCCCTAAATGCCACAATCCCACAATTCCACCCCTTCTAGGAGTGTAACAAAACCACCTTCCCTCAGTTCCAAACACACAGCCCTACTCCAATTACTCGCAGAGTAGAAACTTGTTAACCAGCAGCAGACGAGGGTTGCTGTACGATGGGCATACGTGGACAACCCTCTGCAGGCTCTTCAGCAACACCACTGCGAACCGGACACTCTCTCGAGCTGGATGCAACTGGGTGCACGTTGTGATGGGACACTGGCCTGCTGCTTCGTAGTACCTCACGTAGGCACACCCAGTCCACTTGCCCTCCGCGTTCAACGCCTTGAAAATACATAGGCATCTAGCAAACCAATCCCCGCCTTCAGGAGCCAGGAGTGCCACATCTGAGAACAGGTTCTCTCGCGGGGACGCCTTGACGAACGTCCCCTTCGCCACAAGCACCCCACCCTGCGTACGTGGTATGGCCACTGCTGTGTGTGTCTGCAATAAGGCAAGCACCACGCACAAATCAAAGAGGTCAGGCAATGTCACTCGTTCCGCGCACCAAAAACCGACAATCTGCGCACCACAAAAAACAATTACCTGCACACTGCCAGGGTTCAACTGCATCTCCCGCAGCTGACCTGGTAGGCCCGCCATCTGATCCCCAAATACCGCTGCGTACTCGGCAAACACCTTGTCCGCGGTGCCTCCGAGGCGCATGACCCTGAACTTCTTCGTTAGCACTGGCTCCATCTCTTCCACGGCCTGCCGCACACAACCACCGGCGACACAGCATGCACTGAATGAGAGTGCATAGCAAACACGCATCTAGTACAGGGCGTGAGTCGCCCAGCGCACCACCCCTAGTCTTGCTTGCACCCTAACACTCACCACACGCAGCGCTGACACGTACTGCCGACCTCCTCCCGCATCGGCCGCCACTTCTCTGTAAATCTCCCGCTGCATCTCCTCATCCACAATTCTCCTCGGAATGTCAGCCCAGGTGCTCCCCCTCACGGGACCCTTCACTGTCCCCTTGTGAGTGCGCTCCCACATCTCCGTGCTGTAGTGGTGTGGCATCCCCCTTGCTTCCACGTTCTCGAGAAGATGCTTGATCATGTGGATCTTGGGAATTTCCCACTTTGACGCCTGGTCCGGGAAAGCTTTGGGCAGCAGCTACATCAACCTGCATAGCAAACAGTTGTGTAGCTCAGAGGTTCTAACAGCAGACTGCAAAGCACAGGGTTAAGGGTGCACAAGGATTGCAATCAACACACGTCTCCAACCACCGTACTTACGCAACAGCACGTTGCTTGGCCTCTTTCAGCGTGGCACGGGTGTGCGCCGCCACTCCCAAAAACGCCTTGTAGAACAGGGCGTAATAACGGAATGCTCTAACCTGCAGCGCCCTCAACTCTCCCGCCTCGCCCTTCTTCAAGGCACTAGAATCCGCAATGAGGATTGGCATTATTTGCATCATGGCACGATGTTCGAACGCCGCATAGTGGGCACCAGAAAGGAAGAATGATGATCCCCCAGGAATCCGCAGCAGCACACTTGGAGTATCGCTTTTGAACTCCTTCTTCCGCCTGCCACGCAATAGGGACCAACGAGCCAGTTACGCATCTCGGCCAAGCCATAAAACCCGTTCCAAGGAACTGACAAAGCCCTGTCCACCCCAAAACACCGCACTGATGATCTACACGGCTCACCTCTCCAGGATGCGGATCTCGACTTTCCCCAGGGGGGAAAGGTATTCTTCCATCATGTGTATGAAGACACCAGAGTCCAGCACGTGTAAAATGTCAGCCAAACATGCGAGGTAGACGTTCCCCCAGGTGGTGTTCCCAAAGTTCCACCGCGCCAGCACGCACTGCACACAGAAGGAAGCACGTCACAGCCCTATATGTACAGGCGACGAGTCGAACGAATGTTTCCACGGCACAATGGCAAACTGCAACATACCTCTATCGGATGGGTTGACCACTGGCTCATGTACTTCCGGGCGTCCTCCTTTTTGGCGAACGCAAAAAACTGTCGCACAATGTCCTTCTGCCGCTCAGGTGTGCGTGGATCTATTTTAGCAGTCAGCCGTTTCAGCTCTCCCACTTCTGCATAGCAGTTAGCGCAGGGGCGATGAGTGCCCGTCTGCAGCGTGGCTGAGGCCCTACTGTTCTCTGGATAGTCACCAGGGTACCCATAGAGGCAAGGTACCGCCTTGACCACATTGCCGGTGGCGTCTGTCACATTAAAGTGCCTCACAGGAGCACTGGATACAGAAAGGGATTTCGAATAGGTAACGGATCACAAATACGTCACAAGCAACGCGTATACCGCGTGAAGAACCAACACACATGCCGCCAAACGTACCTTGCGGTTTCCCGCATCAGGGGTCCTAGGATGATCTTCAGCGCCTCCTGGAAAACACGGGCCTTCTCTGTCGGACTAGCCCATTCCGGACAGAATGGCAACACTGCCGCAAGAGTGTGGCCCGGCTCAAACCACCTCAATTCCTCCGGAATGTTAATAAGCGATATCAGAACAGGCCACGCATTCCGCCGCCCGTTGCGCGACGCCTGAGTGCTGTCGCTGTACACGATGACCCCGAGAATCAGAGCCTTGTCGTCCTTGATCTCTTTCTGCCACACGCACACACCAAGGTGGTTATTACAGTACCACGCCCCTGCATCGGACATGCACTGTTTCAGCCAGGCAACGCACCTGCGCCTCGTGCATCCACGTGCCTGTTTCTGGCCCCTCGAAAACGCGCTTCCCCTTCTCGTTGTACTTCTCCTGTGGCTTCCACACGAAACCCTTCCTCCGCGAAAAAATGCGGACTAGCTTCTTCACAAGCTGCACATCAGAGCATGGCCATAGCAAGCATGCGCGACAATACAAATATAGATAGGCACGTTACACGCCATCTGTCACAACACCTAAGCCGAATAAGGGCGGTACGCAGATGACGACAAGCTCACCAGCTCTGTGTCGCGGAAGTGCAAGAGAAGCTTTTGGGACATTCCTCTGGGCCCGTGCACGACGATATGCTCTGTTTTCCATGGAACCATATCTGGCGGCGCACGCTCTTTCCCCCATCGCTTCACGTCGGCGTAGCTGCGCCACTTGCGTAATTCCTTCAAACTGAACTGAGGGTTACGGAATATGTTAAGCAGTCTGTTGACTTCACGGCGTGATAAGTCCGCGTCACGGAAAAACAGGTACAGCTCCGTGAGCGTGTCGAAGAAGTCGGAGACGGCGCTGGCCTCCGAAGAAGTAGAGCTTTTTGAGTCGCCATCGTCCGCCTCATGATCTGCCTCCGTCGCCTGCGGCGGTGAGCCCTCTGGCGGCAAGTTCGTAGGTATAGGGTTGGTTTTGGCCCCAGACGTAGCAGGGCTGCGCTGGCGTTTTTGCCCAACACTGTTTAGCGCGTTCAGGTAAGCATCAAACATAAGCTGCTCGAGATTTCTCTTCAACGAGTCCCCGCATTTCGTTCTGTCTGAGAGATGAGACTGCAAGTCACGGTCGCTAGTAAATTCCTTCCCGCAACGACACTCCGCACTTGTTTCCCGTCATCTCGGACTTGCTACAAACCCTAATCCGACCACTAGCAATGGTTGAGGTAGTCGGTTTTCATATCGTCCACGGCCGTGCGCGGCAACATATGAGGCGTCAGTGCTTCGTACACACTACATGTACGTAAGAATACACTTGGTTGTTCATAAATAGCCATGTGAAGATAGACGATATGTGTATAAGACTACGTCGTTGAAGCAAACAAATAGTGTGCAACTCTATCCGTTTACTATTGATAATATTCACCTACGTAAATTTTGCCACGAAACAATAGCAGAAATTGTCAGCCCATTATAAGCGCTATTATATTACAAATCTTCAACGAGACTTTACATGCCGCGTATATGTGCACGTGCTCCCACGTACGCATCCCGTAAACAGGGGCTTTCCCATCCGGCACTGTTTGATCACTGCTACACTGGCCAGGTGGCCCCGTGTCTACACCTTGCCCACAGCGGTGTACTAGCAATTCGTGCGAGGAAGTGCCAATTTCGTACCTTACGTCACGAGCCAGATGTACGCGTTTGTGCATTGTCGTATCACTTTATATCATCATAAGTCGAAACAAATGGGAGTTGGCCCTATCAACTGGACCACTACTTTATCCACGCTACACTCCATTTCGAATTGAAAATGCCTGATATAAAACAAGTCATACACGCACCCCCGTTATTAGGAGCCTCTCGATGTCGTGCTGGCTACGGAGCAATGACATGCACTCATCCAACTATTCCAGACCATTCTGCGGTGCCCAGCTGTCATCATCTCGGTGACCTGTGCATGATGCGACGAACCTCGAGTAACCCTAACTGGAGATCTGTCATCCATCGGGGGATGTGACCACTTTTGCTGCCTTCTTGCCACGGGCTATTGCGCTTTCCCAAATTCGTTCGCAGGAGAACCCTAACGGTTTTAGTTTACCGTGGGAACCGTGGCCGGGCCCTAGTACACCTGATTCTGAAATCGCATCCTTCCCCTCATCCCGCGCCAACCATGCCTCCGAAAAACGCGCACACCGGCAGCCAAGAATCGAGCGGCTGCTCCGAGTCCGAGATAAGAGAAGTGCGTGCGACAAGGTCGCGTAAGGGAAAGGCCGCCGGCTCAAACAAAAAAAAGGCAACGACGGGCGGTGGAGGATGACAAGGGAAAGACCATGGAAGTCGCTGACGGTGCAGCCAGCACGCCTGCTGAACTCCCTCAGCCCGACGATTTGGTGGCGGCGTTGGAGAAGAATTATTACAAAGTCGAATATCGCAACGTGGAGCTCAAGAACCATCGCGACGTGGTCAGCACAGTCGACAAGAAGGATCTCGCCTCCATCGCGGACAACACATGGGTGTCTGACGGGGTGATAGACTTCCACAACGTGTGAGTAACGGTTTCGCCCGGCTACGTGCACGTTTTTTTTTTTTTTTTTTTTTTTTTTTTAACATGATAAATCGCAGTAGGAGGATCCGATGCCCTCCCTTTATGCCGACTTTCCAACATGTCCAGCGTGTGTTTCCAGGCTACTAAGCATCCGAGTGCCGAAACTGTCAAACGGGAAGACATGGGCGGCTGTCGATTGCAACAACTTCGCGAACACCACTGTGCACAATACTCCCGTCAATGCTGGAAACGGCCTGCCTCTCCTTGAGCACGACTACCTGGCGGTCCCTGTCTACAGGGGGTAATCATCGAGCTGTTTGAGTAGTTCAGCAACACCCGTGAGTTGCATGCATTCTTCATCGGCCGTACTAAACACTGCCGTTTACTGCCGCTTGCCTCCCTGCAGAGAGCACTACTCATTGGTGATAGTCGTATCACCCCACCGTCTGGTGGATAAGATGGCAAGGAAGGATAGCCCTCCGCTGGAAATGGTGTTGTTCGACAGCTCCAAGGCCCCCATGAGTACACAGAAGGTTTTCAGTGGCGTGAAGCTGTAAGTGTTTGTAGCATAAGCCGTAATATGGTGGTTGTTAACAACGGCGTGGATGTAACCGGGTTCCTCATATGAGACGTGATGCAGGTTGCTGACAACTCTCGCCAAGCAGACGCACCCACATGTGGACATGTCGAATTTTGAACTGCTGCTGAAGGACGTTCCCTGTCATGTCCTCACGGTAAGGGCGGCTGTTCTGGTGTTTTTGGTGTTAGGCAGTTGAGGTTTATAAGGTGAAAAGCGGCTACCCGGTGTGCGGATTCTTTGTGTGCAGGCGAACCACATCCCTAAGCAAGAGAATGGTTTTGACTGCGGAGTCTTCATCTGCCACTACTTGAAAGTTTTGGTCTACTCCGACTTCGCCAACTTGAAGAGTGGCCTGTGGTTCAAAGGGGTCAGCGCGCTGCAGTACCGCCGCAACATGCGCGCTGATATATGCGCACACGCTATGGGGGAGTTGCTCCGGAGGCTAGAGGAAGATGGCGTGGATGTTCCTTCTCAGGAAAGCGGCACCACCACCAACACGACTTTGAAGGAGGGTGCAGAGGACGGACAACACACAGAGCAAAGACGTGTGGACCGGCTCGAGGCGGAGGTGTGCTCCTTGAAGCGCGAGGTCGGTGCGATGACTGCAGGATTCGCCGCAATTGGGCAGGTGCTTGGGATGTCGAGGGAGGAGCTGATCTCTGCCGGCGAAAACATGCTGCAGAAGCCTGCCTGCGCTGTGCAGGGAGCGGGAGGTAATGATCCGCGCAAGCACGGCCCAACCACTCCTGTACGGCCTTCAGGATACACGAAGCAGCTGAACGACAGCCCTGACGAGGATCTGGTGGGCTCCAACACGAGAGTGTCGCTCGACAGCAAGTTCGCGTCAGCCGTTGGAGCGTACCCCTGCTTCCCGGCACATCTGCCGATCCCCGGGACGGTTCCACACTGGCTGTTGTCGCGCCAGCAGGGAGCTGCGGTTTCACTAGTCCAGCCATCCTATCCTGTTTACGGCATCGCGCAGAGCGGTGCGGGCGCACACCCCGGCTTCACAGCTGTGCCTAAGCAGGAGCCCTTGGCCGGAGGAGAGGATTCTGACGAGGACGGAGAGGGGGAGACCGAGCCAGGAACAAAGCCGACCAAGTACACCGGGGTGTATGTGGAGGCCGATACAGGCAAGTTTGGGGTGAAGGTTGTCGCCAAGGACAAGGACGGAAAGAAGGTAACGAAGAGAGTCGGCGCTTACACCACGATAGAGGAGGCAGCGTATTGCTACGCGGCAGCAGCCCACGTGCTGAGGCCAGGCATGGGCACCAGGAACTCTGTGGCTTTAACACCGGCGGATAGGGCAGCTTTGAAGGGGTGCACTCCTGAAGTCCTAAAAGTCCTGGTGGATGCCCGCATGTGGTGGCGCTGGAGGGTATGGAGGGAGGCGTACGAAGGTGTGATGCGGAAGGCAGCGCGGGCCAAGAAGAATGCAACGCCTGCTAAAAGGGGGAGACCGCGAAAGGAGAGTGGTGCGCAGGGTGGTGGCACGGCAGGAGAGGGTGAAGGAGAGAAGGCTGGAAGTGAGGACACTGAGATCGTTGCCATCGAACCAACCAACAGCAGGGCGCTTGGGAGGCTCCGCAGTGCCGATGCAAAGTCCACGGATGACAAGACAGATGAAGCTGGTCGTGGGAGGCAGAAGGATGGTGCTTGGGATATCAGTGGGAAATGAGAGTGTACCGTGGGATAGAAAAAGGCATCCGTACCCGACTGATGTTTGCATGTGTGTGGAAAGTATGTGAAATCTATCGTGTCTGTACTATTTTGCTAGTAAATGATATCTGGAGTTGAATGTGGAGGTGTTACGAATTTGCATGATAGCAAGTGTACCGAAGACGGAGTATGCGTAACTGATAGCGAGAGGACGGGTTTTCGGACAAAAGATGACGGGGATCGGTGGCCGAGCCGTATTCGCTTACAAAGATGACAGAAATCGTGGAGGTTGTTTCCAAGTGGTTGTGAGAGATTGCCTTTAATTTGATTGGAGGGAACGGTTTTCACAATGGGTGTTTCCGTTGTTGAGCAATGTTCACTGGGTACCGTATACTTTGCTATATCAATCCGAGCACTAAGGAATGCGTACGGTGCACTCAAACACTGTCAACTGGGCACAATGGAGACTTCCCTTGCTTCCGAAGATACTGGCAACTTGGGGCGTGCACGGCGAGTGTCCCAGCCTCCGGCGTACCTGCGCGCGGCATATCAGCTTGCAACTCCTCGTGGGCGCATGGCAAGGGGGACTCGGGGAACTGCTTTGCCTAAGCGTTTGACGTTTACCAGAGCGGGAGGTGGCGGAAAATCTGCTGGTGATGGTAATCACGGGTTTGTTGCGCATGTTGCTCGAATTGTTCCAAAGAACTGAGGCGTTTACAGTCTCGTATGCTTTTGAATCCGTTGGCATTCCCCTTCCTTCCGCAATGGAGCTTTTAAACCCTCGAACTTACATTCTCGTCCGTCTACATTCCCACCACTTCAGAGACTACGGGGGGGGAGACATCTGACGCTTCTCCCGGCAGAGTAGGCAAGCAAGCGGCGGAGAGTGACTCGCCAGATTCGCGTTCCAAGAGCGACGTTGATCCGCGTCTGGCTCTCCGGAATCGAGGCGAGGACGTTGACGGGGGCGACCAGGCACGCATCGAGAGCGACGTCAACGCTTTCGAAGAGGAGGATGACGAGGATGTGGGCGACGCGATGCGCGCGATGTTCGAAACCAACACGAACCGCGAGAACGCTGATGTCCCAACCAATGGAGAGGAGGTGCGCGTTTCCGCGGGAGTATTCAGGAGCCTGCTTAAGTCGCAAGACGAGAGCGCGAAGAAGGTTGCCCGCTTGGAAACCTTGCTTTTGGAGGCACTGGCGAAGTCCGATGGGGGATCTCGTCGCCGCAAAGCAGAGCGGCAGAGGGAGCCGGGACAGGGATGCATGAACCCAAAGCGCCAGCGTCGTGGCGAGGCTGTGGCTGAGGTTGAGGACGGGATGCCCTTTGCTTCTGCGGCGTTTGCGGCGTGCGCAAAGGCTGCCTTCATTCCGAAGAAGGCTGCACTGCCGCTCACTTTGAAGGTGTACCACCTTGCGTGGCTAGAGCACGTGGTGAGTGACAATGTTTAAATTTGGTGGTTACTCCTCGCCTGGGCTGTAGGCTTACAATGTGTGCGCGGTGTGAATCTCCTGTCAGGTGTCCGACAGCATCATGTACTGGGAGCAGAGGATGGGCCGTCTCTCCGTCTTTCTGCATGTGGGCTTGAGAGCATGAAGCCCAATGCAGGCACTAGCGGAGGAGACGCCGCCGGGAACGATGTGCAGTCGGTGTCTGTCGGGGGTGTGTAGAGCGGCGGGGAGGGGGAGGACGGGCTGTTGGTGGGCATAGACCTTGCCGTGGTGGGAGGTGATGTTGCTTTTGCGTGCGCTATTGAGATACGTGCGGCTGGTTTGGGGTTTGTAGGTGACTAGATTTCTGTTGCAGTTTACGGTATTTGTTGCGCGGTAGACGGTTTTGGTAATTGTTCTTGTATGCTTGTTTTGAGTGTCTGTAATGGACATGACGGGGTCAATATCCATCCAGACAGACATCGGCGGGCAATGCTGGTTGGCTAGGACCAATTGAACCAAATTTTCCGGGGCGCGCGTCATGTGCACCGCAAATGTCGCCGCGTTTGACGGAGTGCTCACGAGAGGGGCAATGGTTTGGGATCCGCCTACTTTGACAGCAACACGTGGATTGCCGTGGTTGGTTCGAACAGTTGACGAGGCCCCATTTGTCGGCACGGTGTTTGTGTGCTTGGCATGGTGGCGTTTGTGGAATGTGTGAAAGTGACGCGTGGCGGTGGAGGGGTGGATCGTTCCCGTCCTCCGTGGACGGCTAGTGTTTGGTGATGCGTGTTGTGCGACACTGGAAGTGTGGTGCAGGCGACCATGTTACGAGCGGTGCGAAACCTCAACGTGGCCCAACTGCCACGCTGGTGGTCGCGGGTGTCGTGCACCAACCCTGTGAGGTCTGAAGGTGGTGATGCGACGCGTAGGGGCTGTGCGAATTGCTGCCGCACGCATTTGCGATCGCCGGTGCGATCTCCCTAAACAGTGGCTGATACGTGGCAGCCTATGAGTTGTTGATGCTACGTAGGGTGTAGAACATGGTCGCGTGCAAGTGGTTGGGCTACGCATGCGAGGTCGCTACGAGAAGGGGTAACACATAGTACGATGGCGGGTGTTGAGGACACGTGGGACAAGCAGGTGGTGAGATGGCGCGTGGTAGTTCTGTATCAATGGACGTTGTGAGTTGCACGTGGCAGGGGGGTAGTGGTGCGAGGCATACAATGCATGGAGAATGGACGGGCTGGATGTGGTATGCACTACCCTAATCTATGGTACTCGTTTGGCTGGAGGTATTGTAACAGTATTGGCGACTCGCGGAGCTGTTTACACGTGAACGGTGCATAGTTGGTGTGGTGGTGCGTAATCGTGCGGCTGTGGTAGGTTCGGCATGTAGTGGGTGTGTACGCTTACGTGGCAGGTATGGTTGAAATTCAGGTACACGTGGGCACGTGTACGTCGCCGCATGTTTTGGTTACTGGGAGGTATGTGAGGTGGGTGGTTGCGGTGCAACGTTATGGTGACCATCCGAGTAACGTGTGTGGTTACTGTATTCCAGTTGTGAAGTTGCCTGTACACTTGCGTGGCGGATGCGGGAATCTGCACACGTTGTTGCCAGAAAGTGACGGGAAGGTGACGGTTGTAGTTACTGACGCTACCACTGTTGCTGAGTCAAACTTTTTTCTTGCGCGGAGAATGCAACTGCAAAGTTATGAAAGCGCCACTTTTAAGTTTTTTTTTGCACTTGCCTTTTCCGCGATGGCGGTCGCTTGCGCGCCCCGCGGGGAGCGTCGCTTTGGCAATTCTCCATCATGATGGTACCTTGGAGTGGTGACGGAGCAAGGTTTACTTTGATGTTTGGGAAACGAGGCCGGGATTCGTCGGAAAATGACACTTTCAAAAGGGCTGGGGTGTCAGCAAATTTCTATTACATCTTCTCGCGTGGCTGTGTTATTCTGGAAAGCTTGTCGTGAGCGCTGCCAAGCAAGCTTCCTGGGACGCTTTCCCCGCTTGGCTGGGAAGGTTGCTCATGAGCAAGCTGCCAAGCACGCCCTTTCTGGGTAAATCGCGACGACGATTACGTGTAAGGGGCGGATTTGTCTGGGCCCATCGTAGGGTGGAGCGTTCACCATCGTGACGCGTTCCTTCGCAGTACAATACAGTAAACGACGAAGACGAGGGCTTGGTGTGAAAAAGCAAGCAGACAAACGATCTGATGCGACTATCTCTATCGGATATCGTGCTCAAGAGTCGCGAAAACCAATGGGCTCCTAGGACGGGGGGGGCCGGGATGATGCGGTGCGGCACTTCCGCGACCCAGGAATTTCGGCCCTTCGGAGACCTCTCGGCCTACGTGAGAAATCTGAGAAAACTGTTGTGAAGTAACGAGAAGCAGAACTGGTTGTGTAGGGACAGCAAGCTGACGTGGACGGAGATAACGGCGCTGGCGTCGCCACGCCACCTGACCACCCATTTCAGCATCCACGAATGCTGAAGATCCCAGCGGAATTCGGTCGACGGAGCCGAATTGCCAGGGTCGACGAGGGGTGTCGAAACAAGTTAGGCAGAAGTTAGGAACAGAAAGAGGGTTTGAACTAGCAGGCAGTTGAGTACAAATAGCAAACCCTAGATTGGGCTGTACTCGCTATAGAGTACCCCACTGTAGGCTAGACAATATAACATTCTGACACACCCCCATAGCCAAAGTGGGGTGTAATCAGCACAACAAGCAGTCACAATAGCAATAGTTCATAAATTATGAGCAAAGGTAGAGGCAGTCACTGAGGGCAAGTGAGGAGGAGGAGGGCTGGCGAGAGGAGAGTAGATGGGAGGCGACGACTGAAGCTGCAGACACACGGGCAACAGACGGCTCTGGTGCAACGCTAGTGGCTACCGGGAGCAAGTGCCCCGGAATACAGGAGTAACTGGCTCTGCGTCTGATCAGCAGCGACAGGAGCAACGGACCCACGGGCGACAGGTGCAACCGGCTCTCTGAGCTACCGGTGGCTATCAGAACCCCGGAATACAGGCGCTGCGGACGACACGACGGCAACCTCCACTCAATCTCCCCCAACAGTCCCACACCCCTCGACACACACCCCCTGCTGCGCCCCTAGCTCCACTCCCCCTTCACCCCCCTAGCACCACTCCTTCGGCTCCCCACACAACCACCCCCCTGAGCGGCAGCTGCAGCAGCGGGAGACGGAGGAGGAGGAGAAGGAGGGGACGGGGCACACAACCGGCACCCCCACACCCGGCTCCCCACACTCCACATCCCCAAACCCTAAAACGGGTGGGATAGGGGCAGGAGCGCGGGGGACGGCGAGAGGGGGACGGACGAGGCGCGCGCAGGCTGCCCGCGCCGCGCGCTGGCCTGGCGCAGCCCGTACGGGCCGCGCGCGGGCCTGGCGCAGCCCGTACGGGCCGCGCGCGGGCCTGGCGCAGCCCGTACGGGCCGCGCGCGGGTCCCAGGGGCGCTTCGACGGGCGACGGGGGGCGCTCCGACGGGCGACGGGGGCGCTTCGACGGGCGACGGGGGGAGGGCGCTTCGACGGTGGGAAACCGCCGCGCGCCTCGGGGCGCACGGCGGGCAGAAAACCGCCGCGCGCCCCGAGCGCACGGCGGGATGAAAACCCTAAAAATTTTCGCCGCGCGCGGAGCAGGACAGCAGCGGAAGCATTAGGTGGCGGGCCCACCCACAGGATCGACCCAGGAGGGTCGACCTGCTCTGATAGCATGTCGAAACAAGTTAGGCAGAAGTTAGGAACAGAAAGAGGGTTTGAACTAGCAGGCAGTTGAGTACAAATAGCAAACCCTAGATTGGGCTGTACTCGCTATAGAGTACCCCACTGCAGGCTAGACAATATAACATTCTGACAAGGGGGGTCGACGGAAGGGGGCCCGACGAGGCGGGCGACTGACGCGCGTGCGGGCCCGCCAGCCTGGCCCAGGGCTGGGCCGAGTGCACGACCGCCGCCCCGCAAACCCCCCCCCCCCCCCGAAAGTGAACAGCGACCCACGTTACCGGGTGGGGGCGGCGAGCTGGCGAGACCTCGCGCGAGGGAAAGTAACTCTGGCGCGAAGGCAGCCCACCCGTCCCTCCTGCCCGCGAGGTCCTAGTAACCCATCGCGGCCTGCCCGTACGGGCAGGCGAGGCCCGTGCGAAATTCGGGGGCTCCCCTCGGGACGATCGGCGATTTCGCGACCCGTTGCGGTGACGCCACGTGCCCGCCCGTCGTTTCGCATCGTTTTTTCTATGCATGCGACATTTCGTACCCGCCGAAAATCGAGCGAAGTCCTGGGTCTCTCGCACCAAGGCGCACGGTTTTCGCGACCCGCTGCGAAATCGACACGTGGTGCCGAAACGTCGCACCGCGTGCATGCGAATTTGCGTCCCCTGGCCGACCGAGGCCAGGGGACGTGACGTCGACCTGCTGGCTCGGCGGCGAGGGTGCACTTGTGCCACGCCACCCGTGCACGAGCCCTGCCGAGCCAGGGACCACGGCCCCCTGGGCGACGCTCAACCGGGCCTGCGAGGCTCCGCCTGGCTTTTCTTCGTTGGAGGTGGGCTGTCCCTTCATTTTCGCGTTCTCGTTTCTCTTTCATGTTCTTTTCCCACCTCTGCGCCTTCCATTCTCCCACCGTTTCTTCCCTTAGCCCGTAGCATAGCATCCTCGCTCTCCCGCCATGGCGGCCGACCAGAAAGCCGACGAAGCGACGCCGACCTCGCGCGACTTCCCCCTGTATCTAAGCGTCGGTAGAGGACTCACATCCAAGTTCGAGGAACACGACTACGCCGTTCTGACAAACCCTATGCTAGAGTTTAACGCCCGTTGCTTGGGACTCGGCCTCAAGTGAGTGACGTATGGGGATGTCGGCGTCGTTATTTCATGCTGGTGATAGCCCTAGCGTGGTTTCATAATACCCGTCTTTTAGGTCGACGGACTCATGGGTTAGGGATTAGGGATGTCGATCACATCGGTGGCGCCGACGTAAGGTGTCTGGTCGGCGTAGGCGATGCGTTGTGCCATATTCATTCGGCTCTCGTCGAATCCCCGACCCGTCGTGTTATTGCCGCAACCGTAGTATCTGTCGGTGTCCCGACCACATCCTCACGCACTCCTCCTGATCATGCATGCGTGCAGGCACGCATGGTTGCGCGGAACGGAGGAGGACCAGCGGCTGTGGTCGATAGGAGTCGGCCGTCTTAGGGCGGCGATGGGTCAGAACGACCATACCGTCTTCGCGAAGGTTTTTGACGCCGACGTGGCGGTTATCCCACTGATATCGAGGTGAGGGTGTTCGGGGTCGTCGCGCGTGTGGTGCAACCTGCGTCGATTATGTGTTCTGATCTATGTCGACGTCCATTGTCTGTGCAGCATCGCACCGCTTCCGGGAACACATTGCAGCGTCATTATCATCCTGTGCCCCGGCGACTTGTTGAAGGCATCGGGCCAGTTGATCAGGACCTCGATCCGGCACGCCGACCCGCAGACTGTGAAGGAGTGGCACATCAAAGAGGCGAAACGCGTGCTGGAGTGAGCTCAATAGTGTAGTCGACGCCGCTTGCGTTGTCAATGCGGAGCGTGCACCGTGCTAACTGACCGTCTGTGCCATGCTTTGCAGGTTTTTCCGGGCGGCTGTAATGGCCGAGCTTCGGCGCGAAGGTAGGAAATGGGACTGGGCGAAGCCGTCCGAGGAGGAGGTGCATGCGAGGCTCGCCGACTGCGACGAACCCCTTCGAGATGTGAGTTTCGTACGTTTGGTGTCAATTCCTTGCGCGATGCAACTGCCGTTCGTCCTTGCGAGATGCGACTGCCGATCTCGGTGCTCATATCAGCGCTCTCCTGTGTTGTGTGCAGAAAGTGCCCGACACCGTCCGGGACGGGGACGCGGGCTCCGGCCTGCTAGCAATGAGCGCGTTGCTCTGGGCTGTGAGGCGGAAGGATCGGTTGGCCGGCGCCCTCCGTCGCAGTGCCACCAGCATGGACAAGGTCGCTGTTGCGGGGTTGAAGGGGCTGCGGACTGAGATGGTAGCCTTCATCAAGAAGCAGGTCGCGCTCATACGGTCGGGCCGAAACGTAGTTGCGGCCGACGTCTGTGACGACGACGGCGAGGAGGTTCAGTCGGCGCCCCAAGCTGGCGGTGTCGCCCCTGCCGTCGCTGATGCGCGTGGCACCTCGGTCGGGAAGCCGGGTAGCGGCGTCGACGAGGCCGATGCGGCAGCAGGACATGGGGTGGCCGGGACCGAGGAGAAGCACCGGGACGAGGTTGTTCATGGGGATGATGATGGGGTCCAGGGTCGTGAGGCGGATCGTGAGGATGAGGGGGGCTCGGAGGAGTCGGAGTCGGAGTCGGAGTCGGTGTCGGAGTCGGTGGAGGAGCAGGAGCAGCAGGAGCAGAAGAAGCAGGAGCACGAGAGGCAGCACCACGAGCAGCAAGAGGAGCAGCATGACGAAGAGGTGGACGTGGAAATGGCGGAGGGGAACGTTGCAGAAGGAGCGGCGGAAACGGGTGGGAGATCGGCGGAAATCGAAGGAGAGGGGAAGGGGGCGACAGCGGAACCCAGCAAGGAGGTCGGCGAGGAGGCGGCTCACGGGGGGAGTGGGATGGTCGTTGTCGGCGAAGGGAAGGAAGTTGTCGACCTCGAGGCCGACGAAGATGGGGATTTCGCCGCGGCGACGAAGCAGACGGGCGTGGAAATGCATACCGATGCTACCGCAGAGAAGGCCGGGGGGGAGCGGTCCAGGAAAAAGAAGGCGGTGAGCGGTCATCCAAGTTCCACCGCAGTTGGTCGGCAGGCGATGCCGGACGTCGTCGAGCAGCTGCGTGCGGAGAACCGACAATTGCGTGCCGACAATGCACGCTTGCAACGGCAGCTCGGTGATCAGGCGGGGCGGGTCGACTGCTTGGCGGCGGCGGTAGCTGGGATCCTCGACAAGCTCACGGCATTGACCGCCCAGGTTGCGGACACCGACCGGAAATCGGTGGAGCGCCTCAAAGAGGCCACGTCGACCATGGCGGCCACAATCACCGAGGACCTCACCAGCAACCTGGAGAACGCAGTTGAATCGGGCAAGAGGTTTGCCGAGCTAGCGAGGCAGATGCTGCTGGATATTGACGCCCCCAACGGACGAATGGCGGTCGCTCGAGCGACCGCGGTGGACCAATTGGCCGACCACGTGACGGGTGAGGTGGGTGAGGCGAGGAAGGCTTTGGAGGAGACGTTCATAAAATACATCGGCGCCGCGCAGACCAACATTGCAGCCGCCGTGTCTCCCCGCCTCGTCGTGCAGCCGCCGCCGCCGACCACCCCAGCGCAGGCCTTGCCGGAAGAGTTCCTGAATTCATTCAAGGAGGATCTGCTGAAGGCGGTGACGGAGGTCACGCAGCAGTCTTTCCTCGCCTCCGGTTTGAAGATAATGACCGAGATGGTCGGCACTGTGGCGACCCAAGCTCGGCGTGGGTCGTCGCCGTCGGCCAACGACGCCGGCCATGCGCAACCTATGGAGGCCACGAAGCAGGGTCTGAAGAGGGGGGCAGGCGGCGGGGGGGGCGACGGAGACGACGCGGGGAGCACGAAGCGGAGCAAGGGAGCGGGGGGTTCTCGCGTCGCCGGCGACGGTAGCAAGAAGGCCGGAGAAGGAGGGGGGGGGCGGACGGAGACGATTCGGCGAGCGCGAGGCAGACCAAGGGAGCGGTTGGTTCTCGCGTCGCCGGCGATGGGAGCAAGGGAGGCGGGGAAGGCAGTTCGGGGAAGCAGTCGGGGAAGAGCGTGCTCGACATGCTCAAGAAGCACTGGGCTGGGGTTCGAGCGGCCAGCACTGATCAGGGTGGTGGGGGTCCCGCCGACGAGCATGCCACTGATGACGCACTGCCAAGGGCTCCGCCTTCGGTCGCCGATAAGCCACCACGACAGGGTAGCGGTGAAGAAGGGCTGCGCGACAAGGAGAAGGCGGCCGCAAAAACGGCCCCAGCTGGCCAGGGCCCGAAGACAGGGGTCGCGGTGGCGTCAGCGGTTCCTCACCAGCCCCCAGCTGGTGCACGCCCTCCGACCGGACCGTCTGCCGGGCGACCTGCCGACGTCCCGCGCTCTGCCGACGTCCCGGCTGCCGACAAGGCTGGCCGCGCGGGGAAAGGGGCGGCAGTTGCGGACGCGCTCAAGGAGCAGCTCAGGCGCCTAGCCGGCCACAAGGCTGTTCAACAGCCCCCCGCTGCTGTCGACGCCCCATCTGCCAGTGTCCCAAAGTCGCCGGTCGTCGCCGCCCGTGCTCCTGCAGACCCAAAGTCCGCGTTGCTGCGCGCCCAGCTGGGCGCACTAGCGTCGACTGCGCCAACTCAGCAGGCTTCTGCCTCCGGCGCTAAGACGTCGTCGGCAAAAGTCGCACCACCCACCCCTGTGGCAGCTGAGGTTGAGAAGGCGGCGGAGAAGGGCGTTCGTGCCGCCCTTGCCACCGGCGGCGGCCCCGTCGAGCAGGCGCCCCCCGATGCTGATATCGCTGCCATACAGGCCCACCTGGATGCTGCCAATCCCCGACCGCTGGCCATCTCCGACACGGCACATGTGGAGCCTTCGGCGGGTCTCGTCGGCAGTCCAGCAGAGCCGACGCGGGCTCACAGAGGAAGACGCGGGAGAAGTCGGAGGCGAAGGCGGCGGATAGAGGGAAGGGGAAGGCGGCTGAGACGGCGGCTGACAAGGATGGAGGCGGCAATACGGGGGTGAAAGGGAAAGCGGGGGAGAATCAGAAGTCGCTCGGCGAGGGTACGTCGACGGGGAGGAAGGGGAAGGACAAGTCGGTAGGAGAAGGTGCGTCGACGGGGAGAAAGGGGAAGGAGAAGGCGGTCGGCGATGGTTCGTCGAAAGGGAGAAAGGGAAAGCGGAAGGCGGCGGAGGAGGATGTCGAGGAGGTGGAGGACGTCGAGCAGGAGGAAGAAGAAGAGGCGGAGGAGGAGGTGGAGGAGGCGGATGAGGACGATGAGGAGGAGGAGGAGGTGGAGGAGGAGGAGGAGGAGGGGGGAAGAGCAAGGAGAGGCGGGGTCATGGCATCCGACACGATACCTCGGGCGACAAGCTAGGATGGGTCGGCGAGATTAAGGTGCACGGCATCAATCGATACATCGGCAAGTCGCGTGAGAAGATGGAGCTCGCGTACGTGCACTCCATCGCGTTCGTCGTCTACGACGGTTTCGTGAGCAAGGTGCTCATGAACGAGCTCACCGTCCTGGACAGCGCCGAGTTGGAGAGGTGGAAGGAGGTGTGGGAGGAGGTCAGGATCTTGCCGACCGGGATGTGGACGGTGATGTGGGCCCGGGGAACGCTCCTTCCAAAGACACGGTAAGTCGGCAATCCTCCTACCCAAAGTCGATGTCGTTGTGGTGGTCACTAATGTTCGCCCTGTTTGTTGTGCTGGCGTGACAGGCTGAATGAGATCCTCGACAAGTATCGACATTACAAGACCACTGGCGATGCGCTGCACGCCGCGCTCCTGCCAGCGATATGGTACCCAGTCGATCCCGACACCGAGGAAGGCCGAGAGAAGTCGGCGTCCATGCTGTCCGCGTTGATTGGCCGCGTGTCAATGTGCGCTGCGTATGGGAAGACCGCTGCGACAGCGGCGAGAAAGGAGGGAGACAGCGACGAGAAGACGGATATGGCGGCATGGGCGTTAGGAGCATCCGCATGCGCTGTGTGGTGCTTCGTCGAGAACGGCGATGCCCAGGTGGAGGATGCTGTGGAAGAAGGGAAGGCGGCGGCGCTTGTGGGCGGAGCGAGCCAGGCGACCGCCGATGTATTCGGCAAAGTCATGGAGGCGGTGCTGAACGCCGAGATCAACAGGGACCGCCCCCTGGGAGAGGTTGCTTACAACGTCGCGCCAGCACTCAAGAGGACCGCCCTTGACATGGCCTATCCGGGGGTGGATGCCGGAGTCGATGCCGACGTGATCGCAAGAGCGACGGTCGAGACGATGGCGTTCTGGGGAATGTGCCCCGTCGCCGGGCCGAAACTCAAAGCGAGGGGCATCGCGGTGCCGATTGACGCGCAGATGAAGGCCGATATCGACAACAGGGGGAGAAAGGGTCAGAGGGGCAAGAAGGCGACGAAGGCCAAGGGCGGCACGGAGAAGAAGGGGACGAAGGGCCAGAAGGCGAAGGAGTCGGCGTAGTCGGGGAGGGGCATATGTAGCGCTATGCCTACTGCTAGCTTGGATTCATTGTTGCTTGGATTTGATGCTGCTATGGTCGATCTCGTTTTGTGTGTTTCGGCTGTCGGACCCCTTTGATGCTGGTTTTTTGCGTTTCCTTGTGTGAGTGCATGTCGACTTTATGTAGGATGTGTAATGAACATTTGAACCAGTATCTTGTCACATCACGAAGGATACCAGGCCGACACGTGACTAACTATGTTAGAACTACCACATGAGCATTGTGAGAAACTCAAAGTCGACAACTGTATAAGTACGAAACACATGCATGCTGTAACAACATCATCTACAACATGCAACAGCCCAGCATTCACGCGGTCTTCTTGCGCTTGGTCGACTTCTTGGTCGGAGGCAGCTTCCCGGCGTCGTTTTCGCGGGCCAGGTCGGCCAACGCCTTCTTCATCCCCTCCTCCCATGTGTCCGGGAAAAGGTCGGCGACAAACTTCTCCGGCTTGAACCCGCGCGCCACGAGCGCACTGGCGAGACGAAGCTTGGCAAATTCCGTCTTGCCGAGCCCCTTGACGCCCTTACCCTGCCCGGCATAGGTCGGTTTGTTGCCCGCGTTGAGCACCGTGAGGGCATCCGAGAAGGTCCCAATGCCAGGCGCCGCTATCGTGTTAAGCGCGTCGACGACGGCTTCGGTGTCGGCTTCGCCGTCGCTCTTGCGAAGCTGGCGCACGGCATCGATTACCTTCATCATGCGGCGCACCCTCGTCCCGTGTGCTCCCTGCGAGGCTCCGTCGAGGAGGGTGTGGCGGTCGACGAATCCCGGCTCGAAGAACCTGTCGCACAGACGACGGGTGTCGGCGCTGGTGCACGAGGTCCAGAGGCGCCACGCGTCCCTCACGGTCGTTGCATTCCGCCAAGGCTGAACCACGTTCAGCTCGTAGCTAGCCTCCTCGACCGTCTGTGGGGGTTTTTTGGGTTTCTTGGCTCCGTCACCCCTGCTTGCCGACTCCGCGGAGCCACCGTCGCTCGGCGATTGTTCGTTCGCAGCTGGCGGCGCCTCCGGCATCCTACGAGCTTCTGAAACGCGGAGAGCCTCGGTGAGGCGGGTTATCTCGTCCGTCATCGACGCGATGGTAGCGTCGCGCTGCTCGAGCTTCTCCTCGAGGTCGATCTTCTCGACCGCTGACCGCTCCCTCTCGAGCTTCAGCGTCGTTGTGAGGGAGACGACCGCGTACTGGGCGTCATGGCGGACCGATATCTCCTGCAATGTAGGCGAAAAACGGTGCAGGTGAGGTGTTGTCATCGGGCACAGTGCTCATGGCGATGTCGACATAAAGATGACTCACCTCTGGCTGGATGAGGGTTGGGTCTTGCCGCTTTTTGATGGTCTCGGTGTCGGTCTTCTCCACCCTCTTCGCCCAGTGCTGGAAGAGGGGAATCCGGCAGAGCTTGGAATACTGGACGTACGGGTGCCAAGGCGTGCGGACGAGTTTCACAGCGAGGTCCTCGGCGACAATGCGGCGGAACATCTGGAGGGTGCGCCAGAAATGCACGGCAGCAACGTCGGCGTCGGACCCCTTCTTCGCGAGTTCTTCCGCCTGCAATTAGACAACAGACGTGGGTAATTACCGTGGTTGAAAGTACAGTGCCATGCGATGCTTGGTCGGTACCGATCGACATACATTCTTAAGGAGCTCGTCGACGCCGGGGAAGATGTGCTCGGCGATGAGCTTGAGAAGCTCGTCCGACGGTTCCACCCTGCTGCGCCCCAAGAAGTAGTCCTGCGTGTAGCCCGAATAGCCGGCCTTCTTCATCACCACGCCGACGGGAATGGCTGTGATGTAGGCTCGAGTCATCTTGTCGAGAGCCCAGTGACCCAGCTCGGCTATCTCGGCGCGAGGCGTACCGTTGATGGCCAGCTCCTGCGCCCCGCCTGCCCGAGCGGCATGGACGTTCCGCTTGCAGTACACCCCGTTCGTCTTCCACATCTGCCTCGTCCATCGCTGGTGGCTGGCAGCGGAGAGTTCGCCCTGCTCGGGGTCGTTGCGGGCGAAGAACAGGTGCTTCTTGTACCAGCGCTCGCGTGTGCTGGTGTCGACCGGCGGAATGAGGTCGACGCCGTGAAACTGGCCGATCTGGTCGAGGATGAAGTGTAGCCACAGTCCGGTCTCGCCGACGGCGCACAATTCCGCTTCGAGGTGCCGCGCGGCGTAGCTCTGCTGAAGACGCGCATCCTTCGACGTCTTCGAGTTCCGCGCGGCGACCACCATGACGACCGGCTGGTTATCCGGGTTTACCGACGAGGTGCTCGCCAGTCGGTACAAGAAGATGTCGGGGAGCGTGATCTCGCGGATGCTTGCACCGCGCATGAGGCTGTGGTGGGAGAGCAGCGTGAGCACCTTGACGAGAAGGAACCTCCACAGCGTCTGCGAGGGAGTGGTGAAATGCGGGCTCCATGCCGACGCCGCCCAAGCCGGCAGCACCCTCGTCATGATCTGGCGGAACTGTTCGGCGGTGTATGTGTCGCCGATGGTGCCGCGTCGACGGTCGGCGCAATTACTGTCGACAGAACAATACGGCGGTAGGATTATTAGGGCGATGGGAACAAATCGTCACCGACTAGAAAACGGCGCTGGATGCCAACTTACTTGATGTCCCTCTGGTTTTTGGTGCGGACCATGACCCGCACCTCCGACCGGACAACCGAGATTTCTCGCATGATGCCCAACTCCTTCTCCTTGTACAGCGTCGCTTCCACCCTCGCCGCCATCTGGCATGCCTTGATGCGGCCGAGGATCATGTGCACCGTGTAGGACGGCACCGGCGCGTTCGTCTCGGCGTCGATCTTGAACTCCCGCCTCATGAACTTGACGTAGGCGCGCAGCCGCGTCGGAGTGACCTTGGGGCCGTGCAGCCAGATGTGCTTCCGTTTGACCACCTTCGGGTTGTCCCAATCCTTGCTCTTGTTGCAGTGGATCCAGTGCCCGATCTCGTCGACGTGCCTAGTTCGTTCCCCGATCGGCAGCTTGTCGCCTATCTCTTTGAGCATCTTCGCGGCCCACCTCTTGTAGTGGTAGATCCATGAGATGTAGGACTGGAGCGTGCTCTTAGCCTCGATGGTTTTCAGGTGGCGCAATGCCTCCATCACGAGCACGTCGACGCACGCGTACACCATATCTTCCTCTACGAAGTCGGCCGCCTTCCACTGTTCTCGAGGGACCGACGTGTTCATCAGATCCTCGAGCTCGTCCTCGTCCAGAAGTTCCTCGATGAACGCACGTTCCCCCCTGAGCTTTTCTTCCAACGTGCGCGGACCTGGGCCACGTCGGGGCCGCGCGTCGGCTTCGTCGTCCTCGTCGCTCGCCGAGGAGTACCCTAAACCCTGGTCGCCCGCTACGTCCGGCACCGACGACGGCCCGGCCTCCGCTGCATTCGTCGGTGCCGACGTGTCTTTGCTTGGTTTCGTGAACTCCCCTATGGGCGCGGGTGGAACGTCCTTGGTGAACTCTCCCTTCGGGATTTGGGCCAGGGCGTCGAGATCGTAAAGCAGGGGCAGCGTCGACGAGGGGTTACTGTTCGGTGTACGATCTACCGGGCGGACATCCTCACCCTGGCTAGCGGGGTTCGGAACGTCCGTCATGTCGACGTCGGCGGGTGGTGGCTGCGGTTGCGGCGGTGTCGAGCGAGGCTGTGCTCCGGCCATGATACCGCGACCTAGGGTCTCGTGAAGGGAAGTCGGTGTGGTGAGGTCGGTGAAATGAAACATGGCGATTCTAAGTCGGCGGTATCTGACAGGTCGGCATCGCAGACAACACTACGAGACGGCGGCCCCGACGTCTGACTATTCTGACGACGCCGACGTTCCACGTCTGCCGACAATCTCCCGATGGAAAAAAAACTAAGGGCGAGCCGTCAAGGGAACGGGGAAAAAATCTAAGTGCCAGCTAACGGATGAAAAGCACAGAGAACGGCAGGCAGAATGAGCGACCTGCAATTGGACCCCAGATTGGTATGGTCGTGAGCGACTCCGCTCCACTTGGCGCTCCACGCAAACCCCTGTGCAGGACGCAGCTATGCATGTACGCTCGTGCGGCGGCGCCGTGACCGACGTGCCACCGGGCGTGCATGGCTGCTTGCTTGAAGCGCTTCGCTCATAATGCGCCTTTCATGGGTGTTACACGCTGGCTCTGTGGTGCGGTACGTGGGGTGTCGAGATAGCTAGACAAGGTTGGTTCGATTGACGAGAGAGTTTGGTACAAGAAACACAACCCTAAAATGTTATCCCCTATAACATCTACCCCACTACAGCCTACCAATATATATCACACATATATATCATTTGACATGGGGTGGTCCCTGCGCGGTAGTTCGAGGGCGGGAGACACTGCCGCGTGGCACCACGATGAAGACCTTCTTGTTAGAATGAGAAGAGTATGTGTGATTAGGTGGAGGTTGGGGTACAAGACTAGAGTGTCGAGTGAGTTTCTGTACCCCTTAAGGCTAGCCCCAATATAGCCTAGATACTAACATGCATATGTTTTGACACACCCCCATAGGCGAAATGGGGGATAGCCAGAGCAAGCAATGGTCACAAGACCAGTCAAGAGAAGAAACAAAACACGGCTCAGGGTGGATCACAACGTCACCACACACACTGAGCACAAACAAACGGCCACAAGGCCAGTCCACATGTAGAGGTATATAAGCAGCAAGAACAGCACAGTGATCTCTACCTAGCAATGCAAACATGCACGTATATATATATATATATATATATATATATATATATATCACAGTACAAGCAAGGCCTACAGCAAGTGAGGAAATGTGGGCACAAGCCCTAGCAAAGTGCAGAAACGCTGATGATCACCAGACGGAAGCGCCTTAGTGAATATATCAGCAGTGTTGGCCCGAGTGGCCACGTGACGCAGACGAAGCTGACCACGCTGCTGCAGCTCTCGAGCCAGGAAGTAACGCAGAGCGATGTGCTTTGTTCTGTGCTCCAGTCTGTG